GCTTTGAACAGCTTCAGCTTCAAACTTTAGTTAGCTGACTAAGAACACTGATTAGATATTGACCAACACTTCTGTGTGGATTCTTCATTTCACCTGGCAGAAAGTGCTGTGAGCTTACAGTTTAGTATAGGTATGCCATCAGTCTGTCATTGATCAGCTACATTTAAAAATATTTTTTTAACAATGACTTTGAAACTATTTACATGGTTACATGGTACTCAAATATCTTTAAAATGATGACCTTGACTTGTTTTTGAGGCCATAGATCTTACACAAAAATAACGGGCTAAAATATGAGATTTCAAATTTCTCTTTGATAGGAAACAGATTTGACCTAAGTGAGCCTGTATGTTACAAAAACTTTTTTGGGTTTTTCTATTTTTTGCCTTTTTTGTTATGATTTAGTTGAGCGTTGTAGGCCACTACATGGCCCTGACTTGCTCTTTATGTTGTTTTTTACCCTCTTTTATTCAGTTTAAATTTCTTGGAAGATGAAGTAGGCCACAGATATGACATGTGAGGGTTGATTGAAAAATCCTTTCCATTCATTTCGCTGAATCATACACTTAAGGAATAAGTAAGATATAGCTACAACTAAATATATTGCTACCTCACTCATTTTGAACATCAATGATATGTGATTTTGATGTGTTTGTAAAAAGGACTGATTACTAGGTGAGAGATAGCGTGTTGATGTTCAGTAAAATGGTGAGAAAAGAGCAAGTTTGGGTATTACCAGATATCAAAACAAGTTCACATTCAAAGTAAAACATCAATATTTTGTACATTCTTTCCCCTTCAGTCATGACTGATAACTTTAATATCATATTTTACTGCAAATAAGTTCCATCCCAACTTTTGTGTATCTTCCAGGAATAATATGGGATGGGATGGTGGTTGTCAGCAATTAAAGACAGCCCTTTACATTCTGTGCCAGTCTTCACCAAAAGTGATTCATGGTCATTATCTGGGCCTGTTGTACTTCTTCTGATCAAATTATCAATGTTATTACAGTTCAAATTTGAAAATAAACTTTTAAACATCTTTAAGCTGATGAAGAATAGTTCTGTGATCCAAAGCTTTTGTATTTATGCAAGCACACTACAGCTTCAATGCTTATAAAAGCAGATAAGGCAACACTGCCAAGAACAATTGGAGGCACGGATGATGCCCAAACCTATTCCACCATCAGGCTTTGTGAGGTAGACAGAAATAGGAAACAGAATTTACATATTATTAGCTTTAAGGAGGAATTCTCTGTTGCCATATCTGATGACTTCACCAATTTTGTTGCTTTTTTTGTTAAAATTTGAAATGAAGCCTGCTTCATAATCAAAAGTAAAAATAAAAATAGGTTCAGCCCAGCTATCCGATATTCATGGGATCTGTCTAAAGCTTGTATTACCTGAAAGTTGTGTTAGAATTTTACATTGGAAACTTTTCCAAGTGTCTATGATTTTAAATTGCGGAGCACAACAAATGATTCTGTTGTAATGAAAACCATGTTTCTAATTGTTAATAATATGTTAAGTATAAGGAATACAAAAAATTTGTAAAAATATTTGTTATTATGTTTTATTCTAGCCAAGATTTGTTTGTCAATTAAGACCTTGTGTCCGTCATCTAAGTTCTCGATTACTGACGTCTGTGACATGGTGGTTATGACCTGGTGTCTGTTATATAATTTCTCCACATGAATGACTGTGACGTGGTGGTGCAAAGTATTGATGGTTATGACCTTGTGTCTGTTATATAATTTCTCCACATGAATGACTTTGACTTGGTGGTGCTTAGTATGGATGGTTATGACCTTGTGTCTGTTATATAATTTCTCCACATGAATGACTTTGACTTGGTGGTGCTTATGGTTATGACCTTGTGTCTGTTATATAATTTCTCCACATGAATGACTTTGACTTGACCTTGTGGTGCTCCACATGAATGACTTTGACTTGTTGGTGCTTATGGTTATGACCTTGTGTCTGTTATATAATTTCTCCACATGAATGACTTTGACTTGTTGGTGCTTATGGTTATGACCTTGTGTCTGTTATATAATTTCTCCACATGAATGACTTTGACTTGTTGGTGCTTATGGTTATGACCTTGTGTCTGTTATATAATTTCTCCACATGAATGACTTTGACTTGTTGGTGCTTATGGTTATGACCTTGTGTCTGTTATATAATTTTTCCACATGAATGACTTTGACATGGTGGTGCTTAGTGTTGATAGTTGTGACCTTGTGTCTGTTATATAATTTCTCCACATGAATGACTGTGACGTGGTGGTGCTTATGGTTATGACCTTGTGTCTGCATGAATGACTTTGACTTGGTGGTGCTTATGGTTATGACCTTGTGTCTGTTATATAATTTTTCCACATGAATGACTTTGACTTGGTGGTGCTTAGTGTTGACGGTTATGACCTTGTATCTGTTATATAATTTCTCCACATGAATGACTTTGACGTGGTGGTGCTTAGTGTTGATGGTTATGACCTTGTGTCTGTTATATAATTTCTCCACATGAATGACTTTGACATGGTGGTGCTTAGTGTTGACGGTAATGACCTTGTGTCTGTTATATAATTTTTCCACATGAATGACTTTGACTTGGTGGTGCTTAGTGTTGATGGTTATGACCTTGTGTCTGTTATATAATTTCTCCACATGAATGACTTTGACTTGGTGGTGCTTAGTGTGGATGGTTATGACCTTGTGTCTGTTATATAATTTCTCCACATGAATGACTTTGACTTGGTGGTGCTTATGACGGTTATGACCTTGTATCTGTTATATAATTTCTCCACATGAATGACTTTGACGTGGTGGTGCTTAGTGTTGATGGTTATGACCTTGTGTCTGTTATATAATTTTTCCACATGAATGACTTTGACTTGGTGGTGCTTATGGTTATGACCTTGTGTCTGTTATATAATTTCTCCACATGAATGACTTTGACTTGGTGGTGCTTATGGTTATGACCTTGTGTCTGTTATATAATTTCTCCACATGAATGACTTTGACTTGTTGGTGCTTATGGTTATGACCTTGTGTCTGTTATATAATTTTTCCACATGAATGACTTTGACTTGGTGGTGCTTATGGTTATGACCTTGTGTCTGTTATATAATTTCTCCACATGAATGACTTTGACTTGGTGGTGCTTAGTGTCGATGGTTATGACCTTGTGTCTGTTATATAATTTTTCCACATGAATGACTTTGACATGGTGGTGCTTAGTGTTGATGGTTATGACCTTGTATCTGTTATATAACTTTTCCACATGAATGACTTTGACTTGTTGGTGCTTAGTGTTGATGGTTATGACCTTGTATCTGTTATATAACTTTTCCACATGAATGACTTTGACTTGGTGGTGCTTGGCATGTTTAGCTAGACTCCACCATATTATTTATTGTATTTATATACATATATATAGAATACTGTAAAAGTGAGCAGTTTGTATTCATAATTTTGATTGATCAAATGACACTCATGCCATTTTGACTTTTGTCTTATATGTTTTAAGCGAAACAAAGGGAAGTAACTGGTGAAATAATATTTATTATTATATATATTATAATATATATTATTCTCATTGTTATATTTGATAAATTTCATTATCACTCGTTGATCAACAAGAACTGATTGATAAGATGAACTGTACACTTTTCTGGTATCCTTAAGTATTGTGAAACCAGGCTGTATTGCTATACACCTTAGTGTTAGTTGTATCACCAGGGCACGCAGTTATTACCTCCCTTGTTTATGTGGTATGTGATTCATTTTCTATACATCCAATAAGCTAGAAGGTACTGGTGATGGAGTGCCATGTTATTCCTCACATTTGTATAAAGTTTGTTTTTGTGATGGTTCAGATTTTTGTTTTAAATCTTGTATACAGATCAATTTTGATAACAACTGCACAGCTAACAGTTACAAATCAGTAATTGCTTGCCCCAGTGGGAGAATGGACACAAGTTTTTGTTTCCGTATATTGTCATTAATAGGAAAATGTTCAGCGTCAAGACCATGGTTTCTTGCTGGCCTACATGTAAATTTAGGTTTCTGTAAATACTGTATTTACTGTTCATTGAACATTGTATTTTATTGTTAGGTCATCTGACCTGAAGAGTCAGGTTGCCTTATAGCTATTGTGTTTTGTCCATCGTCATACACTGCATAAACTTGCTATTCAAACAACTTCTTGTCAGTTACCAGAAAGCCCAGAGTGCTGATATTTGGCCTGTAGCATGCTTGGATGAAAGGGGTCAAATGTGCTAAAATCTCCAAAATAATTCTCAATAACCAAGAGTCCCAACTATCAACTATGTTTCAAATGAATGACCTTGACCCACTTTCAATGACACCTGGGACCAAACATGTTAAATCTTCAAAAACTTTTGAACAACTTCTTTCAGATAACCAACATGCACAGAGTGATTAGGTCTGTAGCTTGCTTGGATGAAGGTCTACCAAGTTTATTCAATTGAATGACCTTGACCCACTTTCTAAATGAATAACCTTGACCCAACTGTAAGGTCACAGGGGTCAACTATTCAAAACTCATTAACAACTTCTCAATAATCAAAAGTCTCAGGATGCTGATATTAGGCCTGTAGTATGTTATGATGTCAAAACGACCCACTTTCATGGTCACAGGGGTTTAAGATGTTAAAGTCTTAAAACAGTTTTTTCTTAATCACCAAAACATTAAGTAGATATTTTAGGTATGACTACTCGACCATATTCTTTTTTTGTGGATAAAATCAAGGGGAAGATAATTTAAAACCCCAAAATTATCTCTTTCTCATTTTATCGAAGTGAAATTTTTCAAAACTTTCAACTTTAAATGGTTTTTCTCTCTATCACTTCAAGGGTACTACATCAACTTCAGTCTAATTCTACTAAAAATCTTTTGAGTTATGATATGTTTTGATTGGTAATATGATGCCTACATCAGTGATACTAAGCTTGTTTTGGCTGTTTTTGCCAGGGAAAGAAGAGTCTGTCTCACTGCTCACAACAGACACTCAAAAAGAGTGTCGATATGAAGTCCCGCTTGGAGGAGGCCATACTGGGTAACCTCAACGCCCGAACAGAAATGATGCTGAGAAGGAAACAGATTCCTTATTCACCAGGTATGTCTATAAAATACTGATGTATGTACACCTTTCTCAAAAGGTAAACCTAGTCCATAAATACTAGTGCATATACTTGTTCATAATAGCAATGTATAACTTAATCGCCAGGTAAACCTAGTCCATAACATACCACTGCATATACATGTCCACAATAGCAGTGGTCAACTTGCTCATCAGGTAAACCTAGTCCATAAATACTAGTGCATATACTTGTTCACAATAGCAATGTATACCTTAATCGCCAGGTAAACCAAGTCCATAAATACTAGTGCATATACTTGTTCATAATAGCAATGTATACCTTAATCGCCAGGTAAACCAAGTCCATAAATACTAGTGCATATACTTGTTCATAATAGCAATGTATACCTTAATCGCCAGGTAAACCAAGTCCATAAATACTAGTGCATATACTTGTTCATAATAGCAATGTATAACTAATTCACCCGATAAACCTAATTTGTGAATTAATAATTCTTACACCTGTTAAGAATACATCCTATCACAAGGTGAATAAGATTCATCAATTACTAGAATCTTTACAAAGTGATCTGCTTCATGCTTAAAGGGATTTTATTCATTGACTTTAAATGACTGTGACAATCTTGAGATGTATTAGTGTGTAATGGGTTAAAGGGGTAAGGTTAAGGTCACCACCGTTAGTTTCAGAAAATCCTTGTTTGCTCTCAAGTGGGGTTATCCCTGAAGATATTTGTATCAAACATCGCCCATTAGGTCATCTTTTATGGTGTGTCACTCAAAGTTGAACGACAAGGGGAAGTAATTATATTACTTGGGATATCTTGTTTACCTGATCCAAGTGTTAATGAATTATCTGGGTGTGACAGGTGATAGAACCCCTCCCTCTGGACCAGCAGGGGGAGACAATCGCCTTCGGTGGAGAAAAGACCAGCTTCAATGGAAACCTTCTTATGAGAATTATGACAGGTAAAGCAGCACATAAGAAGTTAACAGCATTGAAATTATGAATAATTAAATTATTACATCATTTTAAAAAAAATTATTTTTAATCTAATCTTACCATTGTCTTTTTGATTGCAAGTAACTGCTGATCTTTGTAAACATATTTAATAACTGATTGCTGAAATATTTACTTTTATTGAAGTTCTAAGCCCAGAGATATAGAGGCTGATGCCCACATTGAAGGAAACCTCGCTGCTGAAATCAGCATGATAGCCCTGGATACCCTCGAACTCATTGTACAGGCAAGTCATCTCAATAAGCTTTATGTTAAGGTAGCAATTCTTTTAAACTTGATTAACAGGGAGGATTTGAATCTAGAAAATTGATGTACAGACAAGATTTTAATCTTAAACTTGATGTACAGGCAAAATAACTCTTAAACTTGATGTACAGACAAGATGTAACTCTTAAAATTGATGTACAGACAAGATGTAACTCTTAAAATTGATGTACAGACAAGATTTTAATCTTAAACTTGATGTACAGGCAAATAAATCCTTAAAATTGATGTACAGACAAGATTTTAATCTTTAACTTGATGTACAGGCAAATAAATCCTTAAAATTGATGTACAGACAAGATTTTAATCTTAAACTTGATGTACAGGCAAATAAATCCTTAAAATTGATGTACAGACAAGATTTTAATCTTAAACTTGATGTACAGGCAAATAAATCCTTGAAATTGATGTACAGTCAAGATTTTAATATTACACTTGATGTACAGGCAAACCTTCTCTTAAAGTCGATGTTCAGGTAGGAATTCTTCTTTTAGATTTGAATAATTAATGAATTAACGAAATATTGTACATTGTACTTAAGCCTTTAATGCTGACTTCATGTTTGTGTTTCAGATTGCACAGTGTTTGGAGCATATCCCCTTGCTGAGTTGTGCATTGAAAGTGCTCCTGCATGGTTTCAGTCTCAACCAGAGTTCTTTGGTCTTAGAGGCCATGTTTGCCTCTCAACGGTCCCTTGTTACAAAGGTAAGATTATGTCATGATTACGCTTGTTTCCAGTTTCTGAGTTCCCGGACACAGGTCAGGTTGGAGTAACTGGGTTTGAAAATATGTACTTGGGTACCCATCAAAATTAGATCATTCTGTCTGATTGAAGTAAACATCACTCTAGCATTCTGTTTTCTCTCACAAAATATAATACTTTATCTGCTTGTAATATGTTCACTTGCAACATTGTAACAATTATAATTTTTCTCACGACTCTGTTTGATCATGGCAAATGCAGTCTATGTTGGACTTGTGTATTTCCAAGCTTTGCCATTGTTAGCTGGTCCAAAGGACAGGTGAGCTTATATGATGGTGCAGCGTTCTTCGTCTATCCATCACTGTTTTTAAGAAATGGTTGCCATAATGTTGTAAAATTCTTCATCTGATCAAGCAAAAACATACCATTGACTTCAAAAATTCTCCTGCACTCCTTCCAGAGAGATAAAAGCTGAAATGAATTTTGTTATGTATATGAATTCTTATTTTTTGTTGGTACAGTTTCTTGATCCACTATTTGAAGAGGAAACAGAACAATGTGCTGACCTATGTCTGCGACTCCTTCGACACTGTAGTTCCTGCATAGCCAACACTCGTTCTCAGGCCAGTGCATCACTCTACATGCTTATGAGGCAGAACTTCGAACTTGGAAATGTAAGTAATCAAGTTTTATGTTACTGAAATGTAAATGGAATATATCCTCTCTGACATCCTCTGACATCCTCTGATATCCCAGATCTGACATGTAAAGTTATGTCCTGTAGCTATATAACTGAGGTTTGATTGGCAGATTAGAGCCAACAATTGGTAGTGATGGTAGTCTTCTGTATCCTGTTTTTGTATGCAGTTGAATTAGCATGATTGCCTAGACTTATAGAACGGTCTCTAATCTCAGCAGTTAGAGATTATTTATGTTTTTGCTATTGCAACACGTTCCACCTTACAATTTAAAATTTCAGAATTTCGCACGAGTCAAAATGCAAGTGACGATGTCCCTGAGTTCACTGGTAGGCCAGAACCAGAGTTTTAATGAAGAGTTCCTCCGCAAGTCTCTCAAGACCATCCTTACATATGCTGAAGCTGACGTTGATCTTCAGGAAAACACTTTTCCGGAGCAGGTAAGACTGCTGCTTTTCATAATCTGGTAGACATTTAATTAAATACATCAAAGCCATCATTTATAACAGCTTACAGTGCAATTTTCTTGTAGCTTTGATAAACTTCAGTGTGCCAAATTTTCAGATATAGCACTTAATGCCATATCTAACCATTTCAATTTGTATCCATGAACTTTATTTCCAAGCTCTTGTCAGACAAGGCTTCACATCCTACATCCAACTTCTTTTCTATTGATGCCTTGTTCTGAGCTCACCTGATCCAAAGGACCAGGGTGCTTATGCTATAGTGCAACGTCTGCTGTCTGTCAATATTTGACTTATTTTCACTACTAGTCATGAACGACTGAATGGATTTTCACCAACTTTGGTTGGAAGCATCTTTTGGGGAAGGGGAACCAAGTTTGGGTGAATGCAGGTCCTCGGCCCTTAGGGGCCTAAGAGGTGGGGCCATGAAACTTCTTAAAATTTAGAATGCTTTTTCCTTTGGTTTGAATAATGCAAGACCAGACGAAGCAAGAGTAGATGAGCTCTTCCTGTAAAAGCTTTTTCATGATATTACTGCTGTTTATTTTTGTACGTGGTACCTAAAATTACATGTGGTTATTTGTTAACCAGTGCAGATGAAGGACCTGGTATACTTTTCAATGTTACAATCTGATATCTATAAGTTTACCTGTACAGGTGAAGGACCTTGTTTTCAACCTCCATATGATCCTTTCTGACACTGTGAAGATGAAGGAATTCCAAGAAGACCCAGAAATGCTACTAGACTTAATGTACCGTATCGCTAAGGGATACCAGAACTCTCCTGACCTTCGCCTCACCTGGCTTCAAAACATGGCCAGTAAACATAGTGAGGTGAGTTAACAAAGTATGATGGTGCACAGTGGTATCAATAATAAATGGCTATATTAAGAAATAGAAGTTGACATATAAATGTGGTGATATGTATTGGCCTGTAAACCATGCTGAAACTGTCTACTGTTTGATCTGTGTTATCGTGAGGTCACCATAGTGATATGTATTAGCCTGTAAACCATACTGAAACTGTGTACTGTTTGATCAGTGTTATCGTGAGGTCACCATAGTGATATGTATTAGCCTGTAAACCATACTGAAACTGTCTACTGTTTGATCAGTGTTATCGTGAGGTCACCATAGTGATATGTATTAGCCTGTAAACCATACTGAAACTGTGTACTGTTTGATCAGTGTTATCGTGAGGTCACCATAGTGATATGTATTAGCCTGTAAACCATACTGAAACTGTGTACTGTTTGATCAGTGTTATCGTGAGGTCACCATAGTGATATGTATTAGCCTGTAAACCATACTGAAACTGTCTACTGTTTGATCAGTGTTATCGTGAGGTCACCATAGTGATATGTATTAGCCTGTAAACCATACTGAAACTGTCTACTGTTTGATCAGTGTTATCGTGAGGTCACCATAGTGATATGTATTAGCCTGTAAACCATACTGAAACTGTGTACTGTTTGATCAGTGTTATCGTGAGGTCACCATAGTGATATGTATAGGCCTGTAAACCATACTGAAACTGTGTACTGTTTGATCAGTGTTATCGTGAGGTCACCATAGTGATATGTATTAGCCTGTAAACCATACTGAAACTGTGTACTGTTTGATCAGTGTTATCGTGAGGTCACCATAGTGATATGTATTAGCCTGTAAACCATACTGAAACTGTGTACTGTTTGATCAGTGTTATCGTGAGGTCACCATAGTGATATGTATTAGCCTGTAAACCATACTGTCACCATAGTGATATGTATTAGCCTGTAAACCATACTGAAACTGTCTACTGTTTGATCAGTGTTATCGTGAGGTCACCATAGTGATATGTATTAGGCCTGTAAACCATACTGAAAAACTGTAAACCATACTGAAACTGTCTACTGTTTGATCAGTGTTATCGTGAGGTCACCATAGTGATATGTATTAGCCTGTAAACCATACTGAAATCTACTGTTTGATCAGTGTTATCGTGAGGTCACCATAGTGATATGTATTAGCCTGTAAACCATACTGAAACTGTGTACTGTTTGATCAGTGTTATCGTGAGGTCACCATAGTGATATGTAATAGCCTGTAAACCATACTGAAACTGTCTACTGTTTGATCAGTGTTATACAGAGTGAAATGTTTGACTATTTTTACAGAGAGGAAACCATGCTGAAGCTGCTCACTGTCTGATCCATGCTGCAGGCCTGATAGCAGAGTACCTGGACATGTTAGAAGACAAACCATACTTACCAGTTGGATGTGTGGATTTTCAGGTAAAAATTATGATACCATGTACCTTATAAACTGTGAGCTTCATATATGCTGACATTTAAGGAATGAAAGAAAATGCTGGGTTTTTTTGTTTACATGTTGATTAATCCATGTATTTTATAGAAAATCACGCCAAATGTATTAGAGGAGAGTGCTGTGTCTGATGATGTGGTATCACCTGATGAAGAAGGAATATGTACAGGGAAGTACTTCACAGAAAGTGGTTTAGTAGGACTGCTGGAACAGGCTGCTAGCTCCTTCTCTATGGTACGCTTTCTTTGTCCTATATAAAACTCCTTTACCATTGAAGGTTAAATCTGTCTGTCTGTCCATCTCTCCATCTGTCCTGTTTCGGCAGAGTGATAAAATAACTTTACTGTTAAGGGTGAAATGTCTATTTTTTCCTGTATAGTGATAAAGTTCCTTTATAATCGATTGATGGTTAAACCTGGGTAGTTTCAGTTTAAGTTCCTTTACCACAGAAGGTTAGATAAATATCAAGAAAGTAAAATGACTTTACCATTTAGTATGAAATATCTGTTTGTCCTGTGATAAAATTCCTTTATAATTGATTGAAGGTTAAATCTGGGAAGTTTCAATGTAAATTCTTTTACCACAGACGGCTAAATATCAAGAAAGTCACGAGACAAAATAAGTTCCTTGCATTCCAAATTATTTGATTGTGTATATTTTGCGGTATGTGAAATGATTTTGTTTTTTTTACAGGCCACAATGTATGAAGCTATTAACCATGTTTACAAGATACTTATCCCCATACACGAGGCACACAGAGACTTCAAAAAGCTTGGTGTCATCCACAGTAAACTCCATGAAGCCTTCACCTCAATCATACGACAGGTAGGGTGTAACTGAAACTTGTTATTATACCCCCTGCCACACTGGGGAATCACCATGTCTGTAAAACAACCCTGAACTATACAGATGTAATCATAGCTATCTTAATGGTTAACATGGCTGTGTAGACAAAGCAATGTGTATCTTTTGAGATAACACTCCTTTGCTATTTAGCTAATAACTATGAAATACTTACTCAGTAATGAGTTGAAATATTAACAGTTGTCTATGACATCAGTGGTAGACACATAACAATGGTGGCTGTTGGTCTCTTTCATTTTCTGCTGCTATGTGCTAGATGATTTAACCACTGTGAAATTTCTTTTTCTATGAAAAGCTCCCTCTTTGAAGGGCTACCTGCGTTTGGCATTTATTAGAATAGATATAGGTATTTTCAAAAACATTTTTAGGATGTTGGGTTTTAATTGGTTAATATTTTCTGATTGTCTAGATATTTAGTCCACAAAAGTATCATTTCAAAAAAAAAAATCATTTGCTGTTCACCAGCCATGGTGACCAAATACTATATATATTGCTTTAATCTGTTGAGGATGTTTAGTTACATTATTATCAGATATAGGGAAGATATGCTTCAGTGCACATCAGTATCAGATATAGGGGAGGTATGCTTCAGTGCACATCAGTATCAGATACAGGGGAGGTATGCTTCAGTGAACATCAGTATTAGATATAGGGGAGGTATGCTTCAGTGAACATCAGTATTAGATATAAATTATATCAGCGATATCATCAGTGAGGCAATTGTCTTGAATATCTTCATCTGCTTTGATCTGAATCTACACCTTACATGTCCAGTATGGCTTGAATTATTCAGGAGGGAAAGAGAATATTTGGGACCTATTTTCGAGTTGGTTTCTATGGCCACAAGTTTGGTGACCTGGATGGAGAGGAGTTTGTGTATAAGGAGCCAGCCATTACTAAGCTGCCAGAGATATCCCACCGACTGGAGGTAAGTTGATAATGTACAGATATATCTCACTGACTAGAGGTAAGTTGATAATGTACAGAGATATCCCACAGACTAGAGGTAAGTTTAGAATGTACAGAGATTTCTCACTGACTAGAGGTAAGTTGATAATGTACAGATATATCTCACTGACTAGAGGTAGGTTTAGAATGTACAGATATATCTCACAGACTAGAGGTAAGTTGATAATGTACAGAGATATATCACTGACTAGAGGTAAGTTGATAATGTACAGAGATAACCCACCAACTAGAGGTAAGTTTAGAATGTACAGAGATTTCTCATTGACTAGAGCTAAGTTCAGAATGTACAGAGATATCCCACAGACTAGAGGTAAATTTAGAATGTACAGAGATTTCTCATTGACTAGAGGTAAATTTAGAATGTACAGAGATTTCTCATTGACTAGAGGTAGGTTTAGAATGTACAGATATATCTCACCGACTAGAGGTAATTTGATAATGTACAGATATATCTCACTGACTAGAGGTAAGTTGATAATGTACAGCTATATCTCACTGACTAGAGGTAAGTTTAGAATGTACAGAGATTTCCCACTGACTAGAGGTAAGTTGATAATGTACAGAGATAACTCACCGACTAGAGGTAAGTTTAGAATGTACAGATATATCTCACTGACTAGAGCTAAGTTCAGAATGTAGAGATTCTCACTGACTAGAGGTAAGTTGAGAATAAGAAATGTTACATTTACTGTATGAAGTTATGCTTGGGACTCTAACGTGTTACTTGTTGTTACAGAGTTTCTATGGCGACCGCTTTGGCCATGATAAAACTACTATCATCAAAGACTCCAACACAGTGGAGAGAGACAAACTGGATCCAGGCATTGTAAGTTCCTAAAATTTACCATAAATATAGCAAATACTAAATATATGACATCATCAGTGTGATTTAAAACTCAGAGGATTAAAAATATTGCACATAGATATTGAATTTTGTTTCAGTTTCATTTTGCAATGCAGATGATAAATGATTAACTTCATAATGATATCAATGAATTTGAGGTCACATCCAGTACTAGACTAATTACACAGTGTGTATCTGTACAGTAGATGTATTCCATTTGATAAATCTTAAATACTTCAGGGTAAGTCCTGCTAATGTTGTAGAGTTAGAGAACTACATCATACAGAAGGTAGTTTAGGTTTGTTTTGAATGGCCACGTAAGTGATAAGTAGCTACAAAGTGATATCTCTTGATTAAAACAATACATATTGTGTTTTAGGTCTTTGTCAATAGTTATTGATGTCATTAGTGAGTTGCTTGATCTTTTTGGGCAATGGTGGTAACATGGTTGTAACATTTCAGATTTATATAGATCACAAATGTTTAGCTATACTTAGACCTGAAGGAGTTTGCAAAGAGTGCCGTTGTTTTGTACATTTCAGGTCTATATACAGATAACCTCTGTTAAGCCCTTCTCTAACCTGTACTAGGTCATTGAGAGATTTACCTGTTTTTTTATACACATCAGGACTGTACAGATTACCTATGCTGAGCCGTTCACTGACCTGTGTGAGTTCAGCAAGAAACTTACCTGTTTCTTTTTATGCTTTTCAGGCCTATATACAGATCACCTATGTTGAGCCATACTTTGACCTGTACGAGTTTCGGGAGAGGCTTACCTATTTTGACAAGAACTACAACATCAGTAAGAAAATTCAAGTTTTTATCACAAAACTACCCAGTTTCATAAATCTCATATGAACAGATATGCATTGAAGAACTTACACACTTTAACAAGTAATCTATATACTTCACTTGTGTATATAAATAATCTATTGACGAAATGAGTCAATCAACAGAATCATTATAATACTTGTTAGACTTAGGGTTAAAGGAGTCAATCAAACTATTGACCCTTTGAGTCAAAGAGACTCCATAGACAGAAGAGCAAGTGAGTCAACCATAACCTGTAGAGCAAGTGAGACACCCATAGACTTTTGAGTTAGTTTTTGACTATAGACTGAAGAGGAAATAAGATATATACAAACTGTAAGAATGTTGGTGACCTATACACAGGCTGACACTATAGACTGAGGAGGAACTAAGATATATACAAACTGTAAGAATGTTGGTGACCTATACACAGGCTGGCCACCTGTTATTTAAAACAAGACACTTCTATTGGTAAGTCATGGACAGACTGTAGGGAATGTTAGTCACTTATATGCAAGAAAAATGTCTACCACCTGTAATTAAAACAAGACATAAATATAAGTATTCTGTCCAAAAATGAGACATCTAGGACAGCAGAACAGGTGAGTAAATGTATTATACCTGGATCCCATACCTATACTATTGATTAAGGATCATATACCTATACTATTGATTAAGGAGCATACACCTATACTATTGATTAAGGAGCATATACCTATACTATTGATTAAGGATCCCATACCTATACTATTGATTACTATTGATTAAGGAGCCTATACCTATACTATTGATTAAGGATCATATACCTATACTATTGATTAAGGATCCTATACCTATACTATTGATTAAGGATCCTATACCTATACTATTGATTAAGGATCATATACCTATACTATTGATTAAGGATCCTATACCTATACTATTGATTAAGGAGCATATACCTATACTATTGATTAAGGATCATATACCTATACTATTGATTAAGGATCCCATACCTACACTATTGATTAAGGAGCATAAACCTATACTATTGATTAAGGATCCCATACCTATACTATTGATTAAGGATCCCATACCTATACTATTGATTAAGGATCATATACCTATACTATTGATTAAGGATCCTATACCTATACTATTGATTAAGGATCCTATACCTATACTATTGATTAAGGAGCCTATACCTATACTATTGATTAAGGATCATATACCTATACTATTGATTAAGGATCCCATACCTATACTATTGATTAAGGATCCCATACCTATCCCATACCTATACTATTGATTAAGGATCATATACCTATACTATTGATTAAGGATCCTATACCTATACTATTGATTAAGGATCCTATACCTATACTATTGATTAAGGATCCCATACCTATACTATTGATTAAGGATCCCATACCTATACTATTGATTAAGGATCCTATACCTATACTATTGATTAAGGATCCTATACCTATACTATTGATTAAGGAGCATATACCTATACTATTGATTAAGGATCATATACCTATACTATTGATTAAGGATCCTATACCTATACTATTGATTAAGGAGCATATACCTATACTATTGATTAAGGATCATAAGTTATTGACCTGGTGTTAGTTTCCCGTGATTAGTTTACAACTGAAATCTCTTTACAGAGAGATTTATGTATGCCACACCCTTCACACTTGATGGGCGAGCCCACGGTGAAATCTATGAACAGTACAAGAGGAAGACTATCCTGACCACCAGTCACACTTTCCCATATGTCAAGACACGTATGGCAGTCATAAACCGTGAGCAGGTGAGAGCATCCATTGTGATAAAGTTTCTATTCCTTTGTGTACTACAAGTCATATCTCTAGCTACCAATATATGATACATTGTTTTATCTACCAGCTGGTAGTTCATATTACTGTCAGTTAATCCCAGAAATATGTCAACTGTTTTTCCTACAGGTCATCTTATCGCCAATAGAAGTGGCTATAGAGGACATACAGAAGAAAACTAGAGAACTTGCACTGGCTTTGTCATCAGAGCCTCCAGATACAAAGATCCTTCAAATGGTACTGCAGGGTTGTCTGGGAACCACGGTCAACCAGGTCAGTTTTCCGATAACCATCAATATATCTTCATGCTTGATAATAAAGATCATAAAATGATTTCTATTTAACTTCAGAATTTGTTATGAATTAAGTCTTACATCTACACTTACTGCTTGGATTTGGCCAAGTAATTCAGACAAAGTATAGAAAAGCTTTGTGAATTATTGAATTTGGTTAATATTACAGGGACCAGCAGAAGTGGCCTTGGTCTTCCTCAAGCCTGTAATGGAAGGCAATGCTGTAGCTACCAAGCATCACAACAAACTCCGTCTTTCCTTCAAGGACTTCCTCAAGAAGTGAGTAGGGGCAGTACTATTTAATCGGAGAATTTATACGGTACTACTAAAATCAGAGATGTCATCAGGTACTACTAAAATCAGGGAGGTCATCAGGTACTACTAAAATCAGGGAGGTCATCAGGTACTACTAAAATCAGGGAGGTCATCAGGTACTACTAAAATCAGGGAGGTCATCAGGTACTACTAAAATCAGAGAAGATATCAGGTACTAATAAAATCAGGGAGGTCATCAGGTACTACTAAAATCAGGGAGGTCATCAGGTACTACTAAAATCAGGGAGGTCATCAGGTACTACTAAAATCAGGGAGGTCATCAGGTACTACTAAAATCAGGGAGGTCATCAGGTACTACTAAAATCAGAGAAGATATCAGGTACTAATAAAATCAGGGAGGTCATCAGGTACTACTAAAATCAGGGAGGTCATCAGGTACTACTAAAATCAGGGAGGTCATCAGGTACTACTAAAATCAGAGAAGATATCAGGTACTACTAAAATCAGGGAGGTCATCAGGTACTACTAAAATCAGGGAGGTCATCAGGTACTACTAAAATCAGAGAAGATATCAGGTACTACTAAAATCAGGGAGGTCATCAGGTACTACTAAAATCAGGGAGGTCATCAGGTACTACTAAAATCAGGGAGGTCATCAGGTACTACTAAATCAGATAAGTTTCAGGGTTTTTCCAAAATCTTGGAAGTTACAGTGAACTGCTAAAATCTTTTAAGCTATTGGTTACTATTCTAAGATCAGATGTGTTATTGGGTACGACGGGTACGGTGATTTGAAAAATTTCACTTCAAGTTGTTTGTATTCTATAACACTTTTCTATGGTGTACAGGTGTTCAGACTCGCTGCACAGAAACAAAACTTTGATCACCTCTGAACAGAGAGAGTACCAACGGGAACTAGAAAGGAACTACCATTCCCTGAAAGAAAAACTTCACCCTATGATTTCATCAAATGCATCAACACTGAGAAGACCAAAGCATCATAAAAGGTGAGCTATCTTATTGAGATGTTGTACCAAATAATGGACGTTCAGAAATAAGTAATGGAAGTCACTATCAGTCCTTTCTCATATGTATGATGATCAGAAGTATTTAGAGATGTTTTTAGCTCACCTGGTCTCTTGTTTTTTAATCCCATGGTGATGATTGGCATCTCATTGTTTGAAACACCTGTGTCTTTCTATCCACAGCCGAGGAAACAAGGAATCTCCAAGTAAACAGAAGTTTTCAGGAACAGCGCTTGTGTAACTTTACTGTGATATCCTACCAGTGACAGTATTATTACAAGTGACACCTGGACAGATTGTAAACAGGAGTTTTCTGGTACAGCGCTTGTGTTACATAGTAATATTACCAAGATAACCTAACAGTGGCAGTATCACATCTGTATGAGGTGGAAAGCAGGAGTTTTCAGGAACAGCGCTTGTGCAGCTTTACTATAATATCCTAATAGTGACTGCATTATATCTGTATGTGGTGGAAAGCAGGAGTTGTCAGGAACAGCACTTGTGCAGCTTTCTTACCAGTGACAGTATTATTGCCCGTGACACCTGGACAGATTGTAGACAGGAGTTTTCGGGTACAGCGATTGTGTTACACAGTAAACTTACCAAGATTTCCTACCAGTGACTGTGTCATATCTAGATGTGGTGAAAACAGAAGTTTTCTGGTACAGCACCTGTGTATTTTTTACTACAATGCTCTGCCAGTGTATGCTTTACTCGGGTGTGACAGAGCCTTGCATTTTAGACATATGTCCATGTTTTGTTCTCAATGTCTTTCTGATATGGACCAACGCTTAAGAACAATTCATCATAATATACCAGGTATTGATAACTTTTGAGGAGAGAAAAACTTGAGCGTTTCTGTGCTGTATTACTTACATTGTATCAGCATTCAAAATGTATTTACTGATATATACAGAGTTTGGACAAGTATACACAGAGGCTGAAAATTGTGATCTGAATGTTAGAAAGTTTTGTCTGTATCAAAACTGTTCATCATATTTATTATTGTTCATTAATTTGTTATGTATTTAGTGCTGATAACATGTTTTTGATTTTCACCTCACAAGTCCAAGGGACTAGTGAGCTTATGCAATGGCATGGCATCTGTTGTCTGTTGTTTTGATAAAAAAATGTACTAGTCATGAATGACTGAACAGATTTTGACCAAATTAGATCTGAAGATGGCATTTTTGGGGACAGAATCAAGTTTGTATATTGGTTCTCGGCCCCAAAGAGGCTGAGGGGTGGGGCCCAAAATGTGAAAAAAAAATTTAAGTTCTTTGAAATCCTACTTTTCCTTCAGTTCTGAATTTGTGTAAACACGACCCACATTGAACATTTTAATTTCCCATTTATGAATTTGTTGTGACACAACTACATTTTATTAAGTTTTGCAGTGGTAATGTCTTTTTTAAGATTTTAATCTACCTCCACTGGTAGAACTTTCCTAATAGGCATTTCAAATGTTAGAGAGATATTCTACCTTTTACAAATAGAACTTTCCTAGTGGGCGTGTCGAAAACTTTTCTACTTCCTCTGGTAGAACTTCCCCATCTCTCTACAAAGGATAAATTATTGATGATAAATACTAGTCACATTAAAGTGCAATACAGTTTAAATGTTAAATGTGACATCATTGTAACACAGGATAGTGTTAGTGAAGTTTGAATGATACATGTGTTGTTATGTAATACTTAATAGAGTCAGTGAAGATTTTTAAAATTAAATATGATGTCATTGATATTTTATCATTTAATGGTAATGCGATGATTTTTCATCATGATTATATTAGTCAAATGATAGCAGTTCTTTCGGAGTTGCCTTCCCTGACCAACAACCAGTACCGTAAGCATGCTTGTTTTACCATTATTTTATCACATCATCAACATGTGACCAGTTGTATAGTGTATCAGTGATGATAGGGATGAATTAGACTTCTAGTGAAGTTGTAAGAATGGAATAAACCTGATTATTCCATTTGTTTATTTACGCTTTATTTATCTCCTATTCTAGCTGCCTTCAGAATTCACATCCCTCAGTTGACTGTTTTCACTCTGTTGTAAACTTTCTCATTAGTTTTGATACATTTTACAAACAGTCACAGAATCATGAATTTTCTACTGACATTTCAGCATCAATGAGCATGGGATTTACAATTGTAAAACTGCTTCATGACTAATAAAAGTATAAATTTTTACAAGAAGTTGTCTTATTTTGGTTACATCAGACTACAAGCTTTGGTAATTTCACCATTCAAAATTATAAAATGATAATAATATTGACAATGGAATTTGTACATTCATTTCATAAAACCTTTAATCCGACAACAAAATGGCGGCACATAGCATACCTATTTGGTAATGTGACAGGTGACCTTTTTTGACATGTATTATTTGGTGTCACTAGACTATTGATTGGAGCGGATTAGAATTACATCAAGGAGCAAAGTAATCATTTATCTCGACATTTAAGCTAAAATGAAATAAAATCAACACTTTGACAAAGATTTCAGATTTAATGAGGCACAATAACATAATGAGTTAACCGTCAGAGACTGATCACAACCAGATACCCACATACTCTACTTCACACCGTATGAACAAGGATCAAATTGTCTAACAATACATTGATACACAGAGGTTAAGAAGTGTGGACTTGCACTCATCTGGTTAAAGAATAAACACTTTTAATTGATCTACAATTAACACACAACTTACTAGTGAACATCACAGCTATAAGATCATTGAATACATAAATTATAGAAATATTAGCAGGACCTGAACTTAACAGCACAGATATTTCAGGTACATCAAATTATAGAAATATCTGCTAAACCTGTACTTAACTGCAGTCAATTCAGGTACATTAAGTTGTAGAAATATTTGCTTAGTCTAGTTAACAACACAGATATTTCAGGTACACAGAATTATAGAATTCACTGACCCTGTTCTTACACAGCACAGATATTTCATGTACATCAAAATTATAGAAATATTTGCTAAACCTGTACTTCACAACACAGTCAATGCAGGAATATCAAATTATAGAAATATTTGCTTTGTCTGTAGTTAACAGCACAGATATTTCAGGTACATAAAATTAAAGAAATATTCACTGAACTTGTACTGAACAGCACAGAAAATTCAGGTACATAAATTTATAGAAATTTTTGCTGAACTTGAATAAATTATTGAAATTGTTTTAAGATCAATTCACATGCATTCAGTTGAAAATATCTGATCAGGCCCTTGATGGTGATGAACCAAAGGATTTACCCTGTAAGGTGACAAGGTCATAGGTCTGGAACTTTGTCTCGTATGGCTTTCAGCTGCAAACAGAAAAAAAAACATTAAAATATCATAACAGACACGTTCATGAGTTCCGTGGCCTTATAAGTTACTTTGTCAAAACATATAAGATTTATATCAACAGAAAATTTAGGATCAGTAGCTGCAAAGAATTGAAGTTTAATTTTAAATTACAAATGGACGTAAGTACTCATGTTCAGAAATTAAAGTTTGGCCTAGAAAGTTTATTTACAGTGTTGACCTAATTTTTTACCTCTTTCTCAGCATGTTTAATTTTGTTGAGCATCATTTGAGCCTTATGCATGTCTCCTGCCTTGGTGAAATGACGTGCCTCTTCCTCGTAGGCCGGTATTTCCTGCTCTACCTGATGGACGTATGCTGCAAGTGTTAAATATCACCTGTGGTTATAATTCCAGATGACATGAAACCAACTCTTTATTCTTGAATGAAATGATTGCAGAAAAAAAAAGAATGATTTTAAAGTCTTACCTTTGTTGCCCATATAGCACCCTCTGCAGACCTTTTATTTACATAAAACTTCGTACCATCCACCCAAAGATATTTGAAATGAAATTTGGTCAAAATACTTCAATCACAACAAAATAAGATGACATCTTCATCTGTTGCAATAAAAGTATTTCTGATAAATATCAAAGATTACAAAAAATATACATCTATCTATCATACTGAGCCAGGCCTCTCAGCACCAAAAGGATGAGACCTACTGTCTACACAAAATTGATTTCCCTTCATCAAAGGATGCTTCAGACAAAGTTTGAACAAAATTCTGTCATTCCTGCAGACAAAGAAGTAAAAAATGACCGAATTTCCCCAATTGGGCCCCTAAGGCATCAGGGACAAAGACCCACAAATGATATGAGATGTGTGCTCTCAACTCTATGATGCTAATGTATGCACTAATTTGATTTAAAATATTTTCATCCAAACTGAAAAAAGAATGATTTTAAAGTGATCCTTCTTTCTCCCTTACTGGGCCCCACCTATACGAAATTAAATATGCTGCAGTCAACGATGCTTCATACCAAATATGGACAAAATCAAATCATAGAGTCACTTGATGTTTGATACCTTTGAGAGCAGGTTTTCCACCTTTCTTTAGTTCCGCCTGCTTCTGATCCATCCTTTGAGTCAACAGCTGACTTTTGTTTTGTAGAGCTTTAAGTTGATCGGCACCAAGACGATCTCGTAGATTATTTATCTGCAAAAAGGACATTAACCTTTGATTGTTATTGTCTCACTAAGTGACAATGTACAGTTGAGACTGGTTCGTTTGAAGAAACCTATCTTTCTATTGTTGTTAGTGTATTACATGTTATACATGTACAAATATTCCATACCTGTTGGTCTAATTGTTGTTTTTCAAACCTCATCACTTCAATACATGTGGTACCCCTGGAAAAAATAGTGACACTCATTAATAATTCTGTTACATTAAATTAAAAACAAAACACAGTGACAGATGCTATGTGATAATCAATTCACTGTTGCCAAAATAAAGATGGCTTTTTTGTAACTACTGTCTAATAACCCATTTATATTGTTGTTAAAAAAAAGAGAAAATGGATCTATTGTCACCACTATTTGATAATCAATTGAATTGTTTGTTAGAATAAAGGAACTGGATGCACACTCTCTGATAACCCATTAAGCATATTGTTAGAATAAAGGAATTTAATTTGTCGTTTCTACTACCTGACACCTCATTAGATTATCATTAAAATAAACTGGGTCTGTTTTCACCACTACCTTACAACTCATGAAAATTATTGTTTAAATTAACTGGGTCTGATCTAAGCAATGTCAGATAACTTATTTAAATTATATCATTAAACACAGACTGGATCTGTTGTCACCAACAGTTGACCTTGTAGAAACTATTTATAGCCCCATAGTATACAAGGACACCATCTACAGTTGACCTTGTAGAAACTATTTATAGCCCCATAGTATACAAGGACACCATCTACAGTTGACCTTGTAGAAACTATTGATAGCCCCATAGTATACAAGGACACCATCTACAGTTGACCTTGTAGAAACTATTTATAGCCCCATTGTATACAAGGACACCATCTACAGTTGACCTTGTAGAAACTATTGATAGCCCCATAGTATACAAGGACACCATCTACAGTTGACCTTGTAGAAACTATTTATAGCCCCATAGTATACAAGGACACCATCTATAGTTGACCTTGCTGAAAACTATAGACCCCATTGTATATAAGGACATTATCAACAGTTTATCAAACCAAAACTAAAGCCGTTTAGGATAGTATAGTGCTCAAACTACAACATGTTATTTCTAGTGTCTATATGTTTGTCATCACTCCATAGCTTTCCGTTGCTCTGTGAACTCAATGACAGGCATTTCCTACAATAAAACCACAGTTACTTCATGAATTTTGTCTTCATTCAGCAGTGTTTGGACTGCATTATACAAGGGAAGGTAAGAATGGGTTTGGATAACTGATGTCATTGAAAAAGGCCTTTTTATGACCAAGTTTATTCTTGGTTCAAAGTATGTTAAAAGGTGATTTTGGTATAAAGATAGATGTTGGAAGAGGGAGTGAAATGAGTTAAGAAGTGTGGGCCAGGAAAGGTGAGGAGGGATTGTGGTCCGGCCAGGAAAGGTGAGGAGGTGTTGTGGTCCGGCCAGGAAAGGTGAGGAGGGATTGTGGTCCAGCCAGGAAAGGTGAGGAGGGGTTGTGGTCCGGCCAGGAAAGGTGAGGAGGGGTTGTGGTCCGGCCAGGAAAGGTGAGGAGGGGTTGTGGTCCGGCCAGGAAAGGTGAGGAGGGATTGTGGTCCGGCCAGGAAAGGTGAGGAGGGATTGTGGTCCGGCCAGCAAAGGTGAGGAGGGATTGTGGTCCGGCCAGCAAAAGTGAGGAGGGATTGTGGTCCGGCCAGCAAAGGTGAGGAGGGGTTGTGGTCCCGTTTCCTGTGGTCTTTTGTAGCTGAATATTAAGATATATGTGAAGTGATATCTGCAGTATGATGTCAGTTGTGAGTAGAATTAACTAACTTATGTACAGTTGAAACTCGTCTCGAAATCGCTTTAGTCAATATTCCGCTTGAGTCAAAATATTTTTCAATTCCCGATTTTTTCCATTCTATATCTTTGTAATTTTAGTTCGGACGAATCAAATTTCAATGAGTAGAAATTTTAGTTGAGTTGCAAGTTTTCAGCCCCTTCAATTGTAAAGCAAGGGAAAAATCATTCCTTCATATGGAAATTAATTTTTGTCAAAACATCGGTACATCTTCTGACGAAATCAGTCAATACATACACAGAGAAGAAAGTCACTTGTGTGTAACACATGGCTAATTACAGCGTCTCAGTCCATCGTTCACACAACACATGGTCTCTGGTGATTAATTAAATGTTTAATTATCCTATTAGAGGTTGGCTTCTTAATTAGTGTCACCATGCTGTAGAAGTGACTTACCTGTACATTAAAAGAGCAGATCCGTTAACACAAAACTTGAAAACATTTAGCTCGGTTGAGTGCATCTTCAGGAACCATAAAAATGAAACCGTCACACCAGTACGAACTTTTTGATGAAATCTGATCTCACAATTCCAAAAGAAACTAATTTTGAGATTGTTAACTAAAGGACAAAGATTGAGTACTTTGTCAGGAACAGGTAAATAGTTATAGTAACAAGCATTCTTCCAGGCCCCCATGGGTGCAACCATTTCACTTGAGTGTTTCCTTTTTCTTTGGGTAAAAAAAAATATGGGAAGGGGCAGAGAAGAGGACACTTGATACCTCAGAATCTGAATATCAATCAATGTGTATGAGGATTAGCTCCACCCTGATTTTGTCTCCTTTGGTATCCAGGGGATATTATTGTGTGTATTGTGAAGTCATATCTAGTTATAGTAATTGTCAATCTTATATTACAAAGATGGTATAGCCACAAGGGTGAGGACAGACACCAAAGGTACACAAAGCAGAGCCACAAGGGGATGGACAGAGTCCAAAGGTATGCAAAACAGTACTCATCTTTGCAGTCTAGACTATCTAATCGCTTAGTTATGTAATGTGAATGCGTATCTGCATAACACTGTAATTTTTGTTTTTTAGTTTGTTTGGTGTTTTTTAATGTTCTATGCTCATACATTGATATACAGATCATTACTAATTAATAAGTACATCATCTGACAAGGTGATGAAGCTGCTTAATACATATTTATAGTAGAATATTTCATGAAGCTGCTTAATACATATTTATAGTAGAATATTTCATTCAACTTCCTTCCCCAGTGTATGGAGTTCAGAGGAGGTACGTGCTTTCAATGACTGAAGTCACTTCCTCGGCAGTGCAGTGGTGATATGTGCCTTCAATGACTGAAGTCACTTCCTGGGCAGTGCAGTGGTGATATGTGCCTTCAATGACTTAAGTCACTTCCTGGGCAGTGCAGTGCTGATCTGTGCCTTCAATGACTGAAGTCACGTCCTGGGCAGTGCAGTGGTGATTTTTAATCACATGCATACAGATCATTATTTTCAAAAACATAAAGAAAATACCAACATGGCAACATTATCATAAACCAAACTCAAACTTCATAAAACTAGGACAAAATATGGACAAAAGAAAGATTTACACAGAGATTCCTGAAAAAGTACAAGGATAATAAGACCAGGAGTTCAAGAGGAGTAAGCATCTTCTGCTTCATTGATAACACCCACCACGTAAACCTTGGTCAATCCATGTAATCTATGTAATGTCACATTCTCAAATGAGAACAAGGTATACAATAACAGGTATCTATACAGTCCACATTTTACATGGAGGATAATATCTACGATTGATGACCTTGCCAAAATTATTCAGCTCATTGCCAGTAATCCTGGTACTGAAATGGTAATATTCAACAAACTCTGAGTCGCCTTTGTGTAAGGGAATTACCAGTGTGTTTCCTTTGGATGAGGTTTTTAATATGTTTTGATCTTATGAAACATGATAAGCATTTGGTACAGAAATGAAAAGAAAAAGAAAAAAAAAAGAAAAAGAATAAAATTTCAAATTTCATTTCAACAAGTTTATTAACAAAAGGTACTTAAAATACTTGAAAGTTTGAGAATAATAAAAGTTTGGTTTAAAAAATAAAAATAGTAAAAAGTCAACTGAGGTAACAAGCAGAACAAGGGACTAAGGCAATATCTTGGCATCATTGTTTAATTTTTATTCTTTTTTTAAAAATTGGATCTTTTCCTTCATTTTCCCTTTTTTAAACAATTATAACATGTAATTTAAACATTCCTTCCACAAACTTCTTTTCTCATAAATCCAAAAAATCAAATAGGCACATAAGGAGTTAGGGGAAACTATGTATGACATTTAAGAGAGATCTCCTTGGTTCTTCTCAAGAAGTAGCAATAGGTGGAACAAACTGTTAGTCGTTATCCAAACTCTGAGATACTATTAACAACCAATCTGGATCCACAATGATCAACCAAGTCGATACAAGCTATGGAATTCGAAACTATATTAGGTAAAAGGCTTAAGAAGATATGTCGTAAGAAATAAAAATGGACGGATTTATCACAAATTGTCAGTCATGTGAAGCAGTGAAGTAAGACTCCTAATTTATCACATATTGTCGGTCATGTGAAGCAAGATTCCTAATTTATCACATATTGTCGGTCATGTGAAGCAGTTCAGAGAGATTCCTAATTTATCACATATTGTCAGTCATGTGAAGCAAGATTCCTAATTTATCACATATTGTCGGTCATGTGAAGCAGTTCAGCAAGATTCCTTATTTATCACAAATTGTTGAGTCAATAGAGTCCTCTTCTCCTTAACCATTGCTGCTCTGCCAATGAACTTTTGAGACAATCAGCTGAGGATACATAATGAGCTGTGAGAGAGAAAAAGAAATTTGTTACTGAAGTAATGTTACCATCAGTATCAATCAGGGAAATTATTTTAAAATCGAACTGATTTAATTTGATCATTTTGAAAATTTTCGAAGTCAATCAATGACTGTCTCAAAAGTTCAAAGTTTTGAACATATTGTATACATGTACTTCAGAACTTATTTTTCTTTTTCAGTATGGTAATGTCAATAGAATAGAAATTTTCATATCACAATTAGTAGCAAGTTTATGTGTAATGTTTTGAAGAAAACATTGTCAAATTTGTCAGACAAATGACCAGCAAGAAGCGTATTAGCACTGATGTTTGAAGTGTAGCAAAGTACTGTTAATGATACAGCTACATATGTCACAGATTGCCAGAAAACACAAGACAAGATCAAAATCATATAGGCATCACGAAAACATGTTAATACCTTGATTAGGCAATCAAGAAAGTTAACAACAAATTTAGGGAAAGCAAAGAAAAGACCAGGAGAAAAAATCACAGAGGAAAAGAAGGAAATGAAAGGACTGGTGGTCATCTGGGGTCCCCCTACATTAGAGGTCTGTCATCATGGTTTTGTAATAGCCATGACACCTCACAAGACTCTCAGAAATATCCTAGTCCATCCTAAGGATAAAACATTCAAAGGGAGTGTTACAGAATGTATGTAATTACATGCAAGATCACATGTAGAGAAATTGGAAGGAAATTCCGGTTGGACAGGGATTCGTGGCAGGCGGGATATTGGGTTGGACGGGAGATTCATGTCGGGCAGGAGATTCGGGTCATGTATCAGAGATTTTGTGTATCCGAGAAATAGAAAGGAAATTCCGGTCAGGCAAGAGATTTGGATTGGGCAGGAGATTCAGGTCGGGCAGGACACTGGAGTCGGGCAGGAGATTTGTGGTCTGACTCATAAACCTCAGAAAAATATGGAATCCAAAAAAATTCACCACATGAGAGTGAAAGCTGATTAATTCTTCGAAACAGTTCTGAGGCAATGTTTTGCTTTGTTGTCATTTGAAACAATTTGAACACAGGATTTGTGCTGGTCAAATTTGGGACAGTTTTGACCTAAGATCCTGATGGACATAACTTATATCTATCTATAAACTAGTTACAATATACAGTAGACCTTTGGTAATCTGGACATCTTTGTTCCCAGTTAAAATTATAAGTTTTCTGGATTGCCAAATTTAGTTCACTGGCCAATATGATGGGAGTTATCTCCCTTGATAACATAATGGAAAAAGTTGCCAGTATGATGCTGTTGGTAGTTTTCAGAATATCTACATAGTATTTACTGTGAATACAAGTATTTTTATGTATTTTTATTTTCTTCCTTAAAAATTGCATTTTCATACATAAATGTATAAATATTATGAATCTAAAATTTCCAAAGTTAAAAATAGTTCTTATTCCTTGCTTATGAATCCAATATCCCGTCTGATTCATTTAAAGTCTGCTCAGTATCAACAGTGAAGTTTTACTTGAAAATATGTAATAACCTGTGCTTCTAAATATTACATGCACTGCATACAGAGTACAAATTTACATGTATTTTGACACAATTGGGATGTTGATTTCCCACTTAATAAGGTAATTTGTTGTCACCTGGAGCTATTCTATTTTTAGAACCAAGGTACATGTACATGGGAGATTAAAAGATTTGAAAGCGATAAAAATATTGTTATTTAAAAACAGAAAAATATAATAGCATTTTTTTAATTCACTTTGATAAGTATGAATAAACTGATAACATGTGCAGCAGTATTAAGGGACAATGGTCGCACAGTCATAAGTCTGATCAAATAGGTATTTATATCAAGTGTACATTTTATCTCAATGCTATTTCACAATCTAAGTTTAAAACCTTGAAAAAAGACGAGACCAAAGGCTTTAATAATTCTTTACAATTAATTCACTATGCCATATATAGAACTCTAAAACGTGTTCCAAAAGTGAACACCTCGGAAGATGATCCGTCAGTAGTCACTATGATAACACAGTGTCTGACTGTATCCTGTACACCTCTGGCGCGAAGGACTGTACACAAAAACTTTTTCTACACATGCTAACAAAAGAATGTCTAGAATATTTCAGGAACATTACTAAGAAAAGTCCATTCCTAAAATGTATTTCCTGAACTGCTCTTTGAATTTTTTTTGACTGGTGAGTTTAATTACCATTACAAAACCATTCCCCAACATTTTCGTCCCCACCATCATTTTTCTGGACTATCCATGTCCAGATTATCGCAGGCCCACTGTACATTTATAGGCAAACTACAATCAATGATATGATGTGAAATTGTTACCTTTTTGCTGGTGGTGTTGGAGCCTGAAACAGAAGAAATTATTCTAATGTAATTCTGTTTTGAATGAATTAATCACAGTCTGTCAATATTCAGTATCTTGTAGTCTTCACATGCCCCTAAGTTGATAAATGACATCTTCCATACTAGTTTCTCCGTATGTTAAACTAGGGGTTAAACCCCAATATAGTTACAAGCTCATTAAAATTCTAAATGATTCTTATCTTAAAGCAGTAAAGAAAATTTGCTTATAACTTCAGAACAAAGAGTTATTCACAGTTTACTATCAGTCTCCAGATTTAATGTAAACACATTAACTACACAGGTTTAATATATTTTGATTCCAGTTCACCTAGGAATACTTCAGACCAAATTTTGCCAAAATCCAACCATTCCTACACAAGGAATAGGATTTTAAAGGACCTGCTTTATTTCCCTTTTTGGGACCTGCCGCTAGGGCCCCAAGAACCAACATTAAACTTCATTGATTTACCATCACCAAAGATTGCTTCACACTGAATTTAGGCAAAAATCCAACCATTTACACAGGAAGAGTAGAATTTTACAGTAATTATTCTGTTTCTTCCATCTGGCCCCAACCCTCGAGATCCTGAATTTAAACAAATTGATTCCCCTTCACCCAAAAATGCTTCTAACCAAATTTGGGCAAAATCCAATCAGTTCTACAGAATAAGGAATTCAAAGAACTTGCTATATAAAGAACTTTTAACTAGAGTAATCAAATACTACACAGTTACTGACCACAGGTGGCAGGTTAAAGAGTTTTCAAAAACTTTATCTAGATCAAACAAAACTTACTAAGATGTTTACCACTGGTGCAAGTAAAGAGTTTGCAGTCTACTTACCACTGGTTTGGAGTTAAGAGTTTTCAGGAACTGATCAATGACGAGCCATTTCTCCTTGGTTTCCTCCACCTGCTTACTCTTTAGGGGATCCCTGATCCTTATCTTTACTTCCAACTTTCCCCCTGCAGCCTTACGTCCATCCATTAGGTCGTAGCTGTCATGGTACGTACATTTCGAGTCAAGAGGGAGGAGCTTTACATTACATGTACCAATCAGCTTATCGCCTTTAAAGAAACCCTTCTTCTGATAGATCTCAAACTTAACAGACTTTCTCTCCACCACTCGTCCAAACCCTCGCGATTTTCTATTTATCTGTAATTTCCAAGGTTCGTTGTACTCTGAAAGAAAATAAGACTGATATATCAAGATAGGGTATTGTGTGACATGATGTCTTGACAGTACACGGTTTGTGACTGATATATCAAGATAGGGTATTGTGTGACATGATGTCTTGACAGTACACGGTTTGTGACTGATATATCAAGATAGGGTATTGTGTGACATGATGTCTTGACAGTACACGGTTTGTGACATGATCCCATTGAACTCATGTTACATAATCACATGACGGTCCAAATTGTGTGACAAAGTTTCATCACCGTCAAAGTATAGAGACAATGTCAGACACTCGTGGGAAATGATTTTATAAGTCCACGCCTTTAAAAGATTTTATGACGGTTCAAGTTTTGAGACAAGGTTGTGGGACATGATTTTAGCAGAGTCCATGGTCAAGATTTGTCTGAGTTGACAGGAAAGACAGACATGGAAATTTCAATATTTATACTTGGCACCTTCTCCAAATACTGTTAACATTTCTAAGGTCAAATGTGTAGATATAAAATGAAATTTTTTTGTCTTTTTCCATTCAAGAAATACATACCAGGATTAACAGAACCTTTTACTGTATCAGATGAACCGGTCTGTGGATCATCCTGTGGATAAAAGAACCAACAATTAATTAACACCAGGGCTTTCCACAATGTATTCATCTCCACCATGTTATTATTCACAGTGGGTCAAAATCAAATTTACTTCAAAACAAGAAAAACTTAAGTCAAGTGTTACTGAGGTAAATCATACAAGAACCGAAGAGATGACGTATCATGGTCAAGTGTGACTGTGGTAAATCATAACATGGTCAAGTGTGACTGTGGTAAATCATACAAATACCAGAGATGTTGTATCATGGTCAAGTGTGACTGTGGTAAATCATAACATGGTCAAGTGTGACTGTGGTAAATCATACAAATACCAGAGATGTTGTATCATGGTCAAGTGTGACTGTGGTAAATCATAACATGGTCAAGTGTGACTGTGGTAAATCATACAAATACCAGAGATGTTGTATCATGGTCAAGTGTGACTGTGGTAAATCATAACATGGTCAAGTGTGACTGTGGTAAATAATACAAATGCCAGCGAGAGTAAATATCACGGTCAAATAATGAAATATAACCAGAAAAGTGTATATCCCTCTTACTTAATCACAAAAAACTCATACCAAAGAACTTACTGTAGGGTAGGGAAACTCATACTTCACATAAGTGTCCAAATCTTTTTCTGCATGACCTAAAAAATATGCTCATAAATGTTATAAAATGTAATATAGAATGCTTCTGAGGGAGAGATATATATTGAATTTGTATTGGTCTAGTCAATCTACAGCGTGACCACATGGAATACTTCAATAGTGTCACACAAAGTGATATTTAAATCAGAATGATTATGTAAAAATTTACTTGATCATCACTTGTACCATATACAATGTACTAATCTAGAATTATATATCAATACAAAGTACTAGAATTATATACAATGTATTAGGATCATACACAATGAACCAGCATTATATAAAATGTACTAGAATTATATACAATTATATACAATGTACTAGAATTATATACAATTATATACAATGTACTAGAATTATATACAATGTACTAGAATTATATACAATTACATACAATGTTCTAGAACTGAATGCAATGTACCAGAATTACATACAATGTACTAACCCTATGAACTAAAATTATATATAAAAAGTGATTTATGACCCACTCTATGTTACCCCAACAAGCCTACACACTTACTTGTTGGCAGCTGTATTCCTCTCACCAAGGTCATTTCAAGGTCATTGTCTCCTAAATCTGTATTACACCTACAACCAGACAGGTTGAACTATTATTAATTTCAACTGAAATGTCATTTCAAGGTCATAATCTGCTTAGATGTATTGCACTTCAGGTCATTGTCTCCTAAATTATTTTGATATATTACAATATTATTTGTTATTCATTTCTCAATTTATATGAACCACAATAGAATCATCCATCTGTGCGATAGAGCTGCACATGATGCATACAGAAGTACAATGGAAAATTTGTCCAATTTTTCTATCATGTACTCATCCTGCATACATCATGTGGACATCTTGCACACATTGCACATCCTGTAATGAAGTTGTGCAATACTGTACCTCCATAACATATTTCCTAAATATATGGTTAAATTTTGCGTTTAGAACAATGCTTTCCTTTGAGTGTTTGATTCTGTGGTGTTCACGTTTTGTAAATGAAACACTCCAGTGGAGCCCTGAAGCGTCTTTATAGGTCACCTTTTTATAAAGCTATCCTATATTTTGAATAACTGTGATCTTCCTTCACATTTCTATCTAAACAAAAACACAAGACAGTTGACAAAAATCTAAATTTTAAGGTGTCAAAAGTCATTCTGGTTTATGAACTGGTCACTACTGATCCATGTCATTAGCAACCAAATATGGGGCTCCATATGGGGTTTGAATTAAAACCATACACTAAGAATTTTACAATCGTGAACATACCAAAGTCAATCATCATGAATGTGTTTTCACGGAAATTTGTAGCCACAAAAGGAAATAGTAAACAGTGTGTTACTGACCTGAAGACAGTGTTCTGAGACACTAACAAGTAATAAAGTTCTGTACTCAAAGTGAAAGTTCGATCAATTTTGTCAACTTACTGTACAAGCGAGAAAGTTCTGTTTTCATAATGAAACTTTGGAACAGGATCATGATGGCGGAAGGCATTTTTCAGTGCTTCTAAGTCTTTCCTACATCCCTGCTCCATCTTCTGAAATCTTTGCAGAAAGAGACAAAATTTATCTTATCATTGAAAAGCTGGCTATTTTTGCGGGCATGATATTTTACTATTTAGAAACTATCAGTGTAATTGACAGAGAAAGCGTTAGTGTAGGTGATTTAAAAAACAGGACTGTAATTGATATAGAAAACAGACATGTTACTACCTAAGAAACCATCAGTGTAACTGACTTGGAAAACATTTGTATTTGACTATAAAAATTCAACTTAAAAGGACAGTTCCTACAAAATATAGATTAACTTACTTTGCAGAATTTAAAACATCTCCAAGTTTTGTGAAGTGCTGGTGATTGGCTGCACTCATCTGTCAAAAAAGTAAACATCGTCTAAATAATACTAAACCGTCATCACAAAGAGAGTCATCTTGTCTTAAGGATTGTCCGCCTCAGATTTAGAGGGGACCCTTTTATCCACACACAAAATTGTACACAAAATCTATGTCTCAGGACAGTCTTACTCACCCTGATCTGGTTGATGAGATCTTGTTCCAGTTTTTTGAAGATTTCATTTCTGTCTCCTTTGACTTCACATTCATCAGCACTGACCATCACAAATGATCGCTCATCCTCCTCTGTTAGAGATGGTGGCATCTATAAACAAGAGGCCCATGGTGCTTAATGGTCATCTGACTATAAAGACAGAGGCCAAATAATGGTCATCTGACTATAAAGACAGAGGCCAATTAATGGTCATCTGACTCTAAAGACAGAGGCCAAATAACGGTCATCTGACTCTAAAGACAGGCCAAGTAGGCCTAAAATGCTCAACTACTCTACAACAGCTTACACAGAAGACAGTCTGATCAATCAAAACAGTTTCTGTTAATTGGAAACACTGTTTCTTATACACGCTACTACTGAAATATCATGTTTCCAGACCTCTAGCCTGTTGAAAGAAGAAATTTTAAATCTCAACACATTTGACCAAGGAGACCTTGAGAGGTGTTCAAAGTCAATTATTTGAATAAATCTGGTAGCCCTTCGTCCAATTATGTAAAAAAATAAATATCAACAGCCCAAACCTTTTGGTTATTGAAAAGTTGTTTTAAGATTTTAACATATTTGACCCTAAAGACCTTTAAACAGCAAACAAAACTCAGCTCTGGTAACATTTAATGTTACTTGTAACAGGTGAGCTAAAAAAACTCACCACTGGTAACATTTAATATTACTTGTAACAGGTGAGCTAACAAAACTGATACTATGCAGTACTATGGTTTCAGATATGCACAATGCTCATTTAGAACAAAATCGTCCGATGTATATATTCCTACCTGAGACATGTCCACTGGTAGACCACTCTCAGCAGCTTCAATCATAGGTTCAAATCCCTGCAAAAGTAAAACCAATTAACAAGAGATCCCATAGGCACCTCACAATGTATTATCTATGTAGGTGCTCTAAGATAAATGGTATCTTTTTTAACCTTTATTAAGTATAAGATGTTGTGAACACAGGTGGATAAATCAACTTCTAATTTCAACAAAGTAAACATCACCATTGCATTTCAAGAAATAGCTCTTAAAATCTGTGTCTTAATCCAAAATGGCTGCTTATCAACAATTTCTTTTTTTAAATCAGAGACTGAGTAAGTACAACTAAGGACCACAGGGAAATTTACATGTGGCTGATTCGAAATTTTCGGAAATGATTTCCCAATTGGGCCCCAACCTTGTTCTCAATAGAAATCAAATCCATCATTGATAATAATTGCTGCAGACCAAACTTGAACAATATCCTTGAAAGAAAGAAGTTATATTTCCAATATTGGGTTCTGATGTCACTCCTGGTTAATACAAAATTGGGTTCCTTTCAACTAGGTATGCTTCAGACCAAATATGAACAGAATCAAGGCATTACATAAAAGCAAAGGATTTTGAAGAATTTTCTCTATCTCCCCTAATGGGTTCTGCTCCTCTTAACCCACCATTTATACAAAATTTATCCCCTACACCTATTAAGCATGCTCCAGATCAAATTTAAACAGTATCAAGGCATTCCAATAGAAGAAGGATTTAAGAGAACATGTTCCATTTTCCCTTTTAGACCCCTCATAACAAACAATTTTTATACAAACAAATTTTATAGCTGCCAAGGATGCTACAGAACAAATTTGGTCAAAAACAAAACAATCCTACAGGAGGAGTAGGATTTTGAAGAATTTTCTCTATTTTCCCTTCATGGGCCAAACACCAGAAAACAGAGAGATTTACTTTTCATACAAATTGATTCCATTTAACCCAAGGATACTTCAGAACAAATTTGGTTAAAATCAAAGCATTCCAGCAGCAGGAGTAGGATCCTACAGAATTTTCTATATTTCCTGTGTTAGGCCCTTCCCCTTCAGCCTCAGTGGTCCGAGACCAATCGTTCATCCAAAACTGATTCCCTTTTACCGCAGAATGCTTCAGGCTAAATTGGGGCAAAGTCCAATCATTTGTATAGAAAAAGTAAAAATTTTCTCTTTTGTAACCCTCACACTTCTGGCCCCTGGGGGCCAGGAAGCAATATTCCCTTTCCCCCAAGAATACTTCTGACCAAATTTTGTCAAAATCATTTCAGTCATTCACACCTAACAGCAATTTTTAGTAAAAAGTTGACAAATGACAGATGCCTGATGCCCAAAGCTGCACCATGGCATAAGCTTGTTGGTCTTTTGGACCAGGAGCGCTAAAAATCATAGTCGACAGTTAAAATATGTTACTAGTTAAAAGAAGCCTATACAAATCTTTGCAAAAAAGTGACCGTAAAACTCTAATTTAATTGTAACTTGGACTAACTTAACTAAACAGAAACCCTACATTAAAACTACTCTGTATAAGTATACCCTGATAAATACATACATGTAGCTATGTAATACACAAACCTTAGCTATTCTCATGTATTTCTTGGCCAGCTCAAGGTCATTATTTTTCTTGGCTTTGACTGCAGCTTGTCTATATTCATTCATCCTCTCTCGTAAGAGAAATGCTTGTTGTTCAGCTCGTGTTGATGGGGATTTCTTTACAGCTACAAAACAAAAAGCCCAGACTATATATCAGAACATCAGAAAAATAGACAGCTGCTTGAAGGGATATTCCACCCAAATTTCTGGCTGTCCTGCAACTTTTAAGAACTTACTAAAATGACTTTTAAAACTATTGTAAGAATCAAAATATCTCTCCTATGGTCAGTTTGGACAGGTGATAATGATGGGAATACTCCCAGCCAAACTGTCTTAATATAGAGCATCGGGAAATCCAGAACTGAAATGTCACTGGATCATAGATTTTATGCAGGATATTGTGTATATACTCGAGTGTGTATACTGTTCACTACAGTTTCTGCTGGGGTTACAATTTTATTACTTCATTAACCTTATTTTCTGTGGAGTTTATCATTTGTACATATATTTCATTCTGTCGGTGCATAACGATGCAAACCTGTTATGAAGAATTTTTCTGCAAATTAAATATGATATATATGTTAAAATGTTACATTGAGGTGTATGATAGCCATAAGAACATAAGTGATTTTGTACAATTTTCCCCCAAAGCATCCCATGAAATCTTAACTTGAGATGAATATTCCTTTAATAGATACCAACACTTTCTTACTGGATAACAATGGCATTTATGTAGTGGGAAACTTGGACTTTTCATTTCTACTTCCTACAGTGTTATAATTGAAAACTATTTTGATACCATCTACAACCTTCCTGTGATACCATCTACCACTCTGCTTTGATACCATCTACCACCCTGCTGTGATACCATCTACCACCCTGCTGTGATACAATCTACCACCCTGCTGTGATACCATCTACCACCCTGCTGTGATACAATCTACCACCCTGCTGTGATACCATCTACAACCTTCCTGTGATACCATCTACCACCCTGCTGTGATACCATCTACCACCCTGCTGTGATACCATCTACCACCCTGCTGTGATACCATCTACCACCCTGCTGTGATACCATCTACCACCCTGCTGTGATACAATCTACCACCCTGCTGTGATACCATCTACCACCCTGCTGTGATACCATCTACCACCCTGCTGTGATACCATCTACCACCCTGCTGTGATACCATCTACAACCTTCCTGTGATACCATCTACCACCCTGCTGTGATACCATCTACCACCATCTACCACCCTGCTGTGATACCATCTACCACCCTGCTGTGATACCATCTACCACCCTGCTGTGATACCATCTACCACCCTGCTGTGATACCATCTACCACCCTGCTGTGATACCATCTACCACCCTGCTGTGATACAATCTACCACCCTGCTGTGATACCATCTACCACCCTGCTGTGATACCATCTACCACCCTGCTGTGATACCATCTACCACCCTGCTGTGATACCATCTACCACCCTGCTGATACCATCTACCACCCTGCTGATACCATCTACCACCCTGCTGTGATACCATCTACCACCCTGCTGTGATACCATCTACCACCCTGCTGTGATACCATCTACCACCCTGCTGTGATACAATCTACCACCCTGCTGTGATACAATCTACCACCCTGCTGTGATACCATCTACCACCCTGCTGTGATACCATCTACCACCCTGCTGTGATACCATCTACCACCCTGCTGTGATACCATCTACCACCCTGCTGTGATACCATCTACCACCCTGCTGTGATACCATCTACCACCCTGCTGTGATACCATCTACCACCCTGCTGTGATACCATCTACCACCCTGCTGTGATACCATCTACCACCCTGCTGTGATACCATCTACCACCCTGCTGTGATACCATCTACCACCCTGCTGTGATACCATCTACCACACTGCTGTGATACCATCTACCACCCTGCTGTGATACCATCTACCACCCTGCTGTGATACCATCTACCACCCTGCTGTGATACCATCTACCACCCTGCTGTGATACCATCTACCACCCTGCTGTGATACCATCTACCACCCTGCTGTGATACCATCTACCACCCTGCTGTGATACCATCTACCACCCTGCTGTGATACCATCTACCACCCTGCTGTGATACCATCTACCACCCTGCTGTGATACCATCTACCACCCTGCTGTGATACCATCTACCACACTGCTTTGATACCATCTACCACCCTGCTGTGATACCATCTACCACCCTGCTGTGATACCATCTACCACCCTGCTGTGATACCATCTACCACCCTGCTGTGATACCATCTACCACCCTGCTGTGATACCATCTACCACCCTGCTGTGATACCATCTACCACCCTGCTGTGATACCATCTACCACCCTGCTGTGATACCATCTACCACCCTGCTGTGATACCATCTACCACCCTGCTGTGATACCATCTACCACCCTGCTGTGATACAATCTACCACCCTGCTGTGATACCATCTACCACCCTGCTGTGATACCATCTACCACACTGCTGTGATACCATCTACCACACTGCTTTGATACCATCTACCACCCTGCTGTGATACCATCTACCACCCTGCTGTGATACCATCTACCACACTGCTTTGATACCATCTACCACACTGCTGTGATACCATCTACCACACTGCTTTGATACCATCTACCACCCTGCTGTGATACCATCTACCACACTGCTTTGATACCATCTACCATCCTGCTGTGATACCATCTACCACACTGCTTTGATACCATCTACCACCCTGCTGTGATACCATCTACCACACTGCTTTGATACCATCTACCACCCTGCTGTGATACCATCTACCACACTGCTGTGATACCATCTACCACCCTGCTGTGATACCATCTACCACCCTGCTGTGATACAATCTACCACCCTGCTGTGATACAATCTACCACCCTGCTGTGATACCATCTACCACCCTACTGTGATACCATCTACCACCCTGCTGTGATACCATCTACCACACTGCTTTGATACCATCTACCACCCTGCTGTGATACCATCTACCACACTGCTTTGATACCATCTACCACCCTGCTGTGATACAATCTACCACCCTGCTGTGATACCATCTACCACACTGCTTTGATACCATCTACCACCCTGCTGTGATACCATCTACCACACTGCTTTGATACCATCTACCACCCTGCTGTGATACCATCTACCACACTGCTGTGATACCATCTACCACCCTGCTGTGATACAATCTACCACCCTGCTGTGATACCATCTACCACCCTGCTGTGATACAATCTACCACCCTGCTGTGATACCATCTACCACCCTGCTGTGATACCATCTACCACCCTGCTGTGATACCATCTACAACCTTCCTGTGATACCATCTACCACCCTGCTTTGATATCTCAGCACCAATATCAATGATAAATCTCACAGTCACCTTAGATACCTCTGCTCTACTACACTGAATTCCACATGAGATTGTTAACAGCACACTCATTTCATTCCTCAGATTTATCATTAGATCTTAGCACATCTGGCATATGATAGGTAATTTTTAATTGGCTGAAAATATCCTGTTGTGTTGTTAGAATTGAGGTCACTTGAACATGACCTCTTACACCATCAGATCTTCGTGAGATAGGGTATAATGATGATCTAAATCTTAATCAGACTGGCATGGAAATTCTAGCTTTACTATCATGGATATCCCACTACTGTTACTACGGATACCACAGTATAGTAAACCTACAAGCCCTTTGCGCTGGTTTACTAGCAGGCTGCGGCGTCCTGTTAGGAGAAGGCGTTCTTTGTTTTGGTGGTGATGTCCCTGGACCTGCTGGACCAGCAGGTGCCTGAAGTCTCTGATTGGCTGTACTAGCAGGAGCAGATACAGAAGCACCAGCATTTCCAACAGGTATTGGTGCAAACCCTACGAAGGAAAACAAATATTTCTGAGGAGGTATTCTTCATAAACATGTAAGAACAGTTATTCAAACTACAAAACAAGATCCACACAGGAAGTGAAATGCTAATGATCTCCTCAAGAAGCTAGGATAAGTGATCCCCACAGGATGTGTGAGATAAGTGATCCCCTACAGGATGTGAGAGATAAGTGATCCCCTACAGGATGTGAGAGTTAAGTGATCCCTACATGATGTGAGAGATAAGTGATCCCCTACAGGATGTGAGAGGTCAGTGATACCCTAGAGGATGTGAGAGATAAGTGATCCCCTACAGGATGTGAGAGGTCAGTGATCCCCTACAGGATGTGAGAGGTCAGTGATCACCTACAGGATGTGAGAGGTCAGTGATCCCCTACAGGATGTGAGAGGTCAGTGATCCCCTACAGGATGTGAGAGGTCAGTGATCCCCTACAGGATGTGAGAGGTCAGTGATCCCCTACAGGATGTGTGAGGTCAGTGATCCCCTACAGGATGTGTGAGGTCAGTGATCCCCTACAGGATGTGAGAGGTCAGTGATCCCTACAGGATGTGAGAGGTCAGTGATCCCCTACAGGATGTGAGAGGTCAGTGATCCCCTACAGGATGTGTGAGGTCAGTGATCCCCTACAGGATATCAGAGGTCAGTGATCCCCTACAGGATGTGAGAGGTCAGTGATGACCTACAGGATGTGAGAGGTCAGTGATCCCTACAGGATGTGAGAGGTCAGTGATCATCTACAGGATGTGTGAGGTCAGTGATCCCCTACAGGATGTGTGAGGTCAGTGATCCCCTACAGGATATCAGAGGTCAGTGATCCCCTACAGGATGTGAGAGGTCAGTGATGACCTACAGGATGTGAGAGGTCAGTGATCACCTACAGGATGTGAGAGGTCAGTGATACCCTAGAGGATGTGAGAGTTAAGTGATCACCTACAGGATGTGAGAGGTCAGTGATCCCCTACAGGATGTGAGAGGTCAGTGATCACCTACAGGATGTGAGAGGTCAGTGATCATCTACAGGATGTGAGAGGTCAGTGATCCCCTACAGGATGTGAGAGGTCAGTGATCCCTACAGGATGTGAGAGGTCAGTGATCCCTACAGGATGTGAGAGGTCAGTGATCCCTACAGGATGTGAGAGGTCAGTGATCCCTACAGGATGTGAGAGGTCAGTGATCCCTACAGGATGTGAGAGGTCAGTGATCCCCTACAGGATGTGAGAAGTCAGTGATACCCTACAGGATGTGAGAGGTATTAAGTGATACCCTACAGGATGTGAGAGGTCAGTGATCCCCTACAGGATGTGAGAGTTAAGTGATCCCCTACAGGATGTGAGAGGTCAGTGATCCCCTACAGGATGTGAGAGGTCAGTGATCCCCTACAGGATGTGAGAGGTCAGTGATCCCCTACAGGATGTGAGAGGTCAGTCATCCCCTACAGGATATCAGAGGTCAGTGATCCCCTACAGGATGTGAGAAGTCAGTGATCCCCTACAGGATGTGAGAGGTCAGTGATCACCTACAGGATGTGAGAGTTAAGTGATACCCTACAGGATGTGAGAGTTAAGTGATACCCTACAGGATGTGAGAGTTAAATGATACCCTACAGGATGTGAGAGTTAAGTGATACCCTACAGGATGTGAGAGAATAGTGATCCTCAGGGGATGTGAGAGGTCAGTGATACCCTACAGGATGTGAGAGTTAAGTGATACCCTACAGGATGTGAGAGGTCAGTGATCCCCTACAGGATGTGAGAGTTAAATGATACCCTACAGGATGTGAGAGGATAGTGATCCTCAGGGGATGTGAGAATAGAGTATCACCAACAAGAGATCCAAAGAATCTTAGCACCCACCATAGTTTGATCTTTATATTCTCTTTGAAACTAGGATCTTTTCCCTTCTTTTCTCTTCTCTGTTTTTGCTCTTAATGACAAGACATTTAAACATTCCTTTGCAGAAATAGCAATAATATTCTTTACCTACCAAATCCAAAATGCCTGCCTGGAAGCCATTTTGTTTCTTCTGATTACTCCCAAAATCAAATGAGCACAAGGCGAGACCAAAGGAACATACGTATGAAATTTTGAGAGACATCTATACAGTATTTCTCAAGAAATAGCAATAACAAACTTTGAAAGTCAAAATCCAAGATGGCCACCTGTTGGCCATTTTGTACTTCTCATCAGTCCAAAATTTGACAGGCACAACTAGGGATCAAAAGGAAACCTATATATGAAATCTGAGAGAGATCCATTACTTACTTTTCAAGAAATAGCGATAACAAACTTTCGAAGTCAAAATCAAAGATGGCTATCTGTTTGCCATTTCGTTTATGATCGGTCCCAAAATTAAATGGGCACAACAAGGGACAAAGACGAACTTACATACAAAATTTGAGAGAGATTCATCCAGTTCTTCTTAAGAAATAGCGATAACAAACTTTAGAAATTAAAAAATTAAAAAACAAGATGGCCATTTTGTTTTTCTGATCACCACGGGTAGTCCCAAAATTAAATGGGCACAACAATGGACAAAGAGGAACCTACATATGACATCATCTATCTTGTTCATGGATGAAAAGGGAGAAAATACATCCCTGTACACAGAACAAATTCAAAATCAGAAACAGCCAAATAATTCTACAGCTGTTGCTTAGAAGGTAACAAGTGACTCCCATTCTATGTTAGAAGTGAAATAAACTATACCTGGAGGTGTAGGTAGTTCATCATAGTTCACTGGTTTTCCTGCTTTTGTCTTCTTGATTGCATCTTGATATTGCTGAGCAAAAACAAACAAAAATAATTTTTATTGACATTTTCTCAAGGTATCATATTCTCATAAGACAATATTTAATAATTAATCTTCGTCAAATAAAAACACATCGGTACAAAATTCCATATTTCTTTCTTATATTGTATTTCCTACAGATATTACGAATACTTATCTTTCAATCTGATAGAAGATAGCAGGGTTTACGAGCCCTGGGATCAGCCACAAACAGGAAGTTGTCCTCACAGTAACTAATGTTACAACTACAGTCGAGAGACTGACTTCTGTTATTACTACGGTGAAGTTTACCTTAACTATACGTCCATGACGCCTAGCCTTTGAGCTGTCCCCAGCTTCTTTGGCAGCAGACTCAGCTGACTGATACTTTTGTAATCTTTGAGTTAAGGCATCCATTACAGATGTAGGAGCTTCTGGGGCTTTAAATAGACTCCTGGCATCTACAACAGGTATGTTTAAAAAGTCAACAGTTTGAGGTAGACTGGTGTCTGTTTTACAAATATTTGAACTCTCCAGGGCTATAAATAGCATTGTGGCACCTACAACAGGTATGTGTATCAGTTCAACAGCTGTAGGTAGATTTGTGTATCTTTCACAAATATTTGGAATCTCCAATGCTATTAATAGAATCCTGTCACCTACAACAGGTATGTTTACACAGTCAATAACTGTAACGGAAATGGTGTCTCTTTTACAAACATTTGGAATCTGCCAGTCTATAAATAGAATCCTGGGGTCTACAACAGGTATTTTATAAAGTCACCAGATGTAACAAAGACATAGTCATCAAAATCCCTCGCCAATGTACATTTGTAAAATATATACATTTACAGTGAGCAACCTGGAAAACTGAAGTATTGAGACAGTTTATTGTTATGTTTACTTTAAAGTTTTGTTGAAAGTGATCAGTATAATAACAACAAGAAGCACAATACTGTAAATGTTAAAATCAGCTGATCATATCTTTATATTCCCTTCTTTTAGATATTGGTAATGCTAGAATATTTGTCACTTAATTTCAATGATGCTGGACCGAACAATAGTTCTATTACCGCTCAAGTATAACAAATCAGTGAAATGGTTTATACACATTTATCAAATCCCATACAGCATCTTATAATCAGATATGTAAAATTGCAAGAAAGTTACTATCAGTTAAAAAAATCACTATTAACATTACACTTCTTGGTTTTGAGATTCACTATCACAGATTTATTAGGTGGTTTTGCCAACTGGTGAAAAGACCTATTATTATTGTTCTGTTTCTTATCATTCATCTTCTTCCATGATTTTGTGACGTCTAAATTTCTGAATCAGTAAGAGATATGTTTATAGCTTTTTAAAGGTCTCTTATTATTACTTCAGAAGATATCTTGTATAAAGCAATCAGCTATTCAGGTCACAGCTACCTCATTATATATTCACCAAATTAGCCGATAATCAGTGACAAAGGTACTAAGTCTGCTAAGCAAATCTCAAAAAAAATTTGATCATTCCCAGAGAAGAAGAGAGGAAATCAATCCTCCAGACTGTTTCAAGAAATCAGCCAATCAGGTAAGAGAACCATGATTAAATACGAATGGAATTCACGGTTGATCAAACTTGAGTGAGGAGATAATGTAATAAGCTAACAAAGCAAGTCTCCTGAAAATTGATTAGTTCCTTCAAAAGACAACATGCGGAAAGCATTCAGTAAGGGTGCTGAAAGATACCAGCCAATCAGGTCCAAGCAGCCTCATTAAGTATGCACATAAATTGCCAATAATCAAACTTGAACAAGGGGTTAACGTAACAAGTCTACCAAGCAAGTTTCATAATAATTCATTTGTTCCTTCAAAAGATAACATGTGGAAAGCATTCAGTTAGAGTGCCTAAATATATCAGCCAATCAGGTCACAGCAGTCTCATAAAATATGCATAGATTTGGTCAATTATTGAACCTGAACAAGGAATTAATATAGGACGTCTACGAAAATCTTATCACTCCTTCATAAGACAGTGTACAGAAAGCATTCCCATAGAGTGATTAAAGAAATCAGCCAATCAGGTCATAGCAGTCTCATTAAATATGCGTGGAATTTGCCATTAATCAAACTTAGGCCAGTGATTAAGGTAAAAATTGTGCCAACCAAGATTCATCACAATCCCACTAGTCCTTCAAAGGATATCATGCAGAAAGCAGCATCAAGATGGATGAACCAAAGGACGGATGGATGGAACCCATTTGAATATCTCCCGCCAGCTTCGTTTCGCTGGTGATAACAAGGAATGTGTGTCTCTGTTTCAAGTATTTGGGCCCTCTGGGGCATTAAATAGAAGCATTTAAACATACTTGGAAGCCCTTAATCCAAGCATGTTACTGGCCTAATACCATGTTCAATAGTCCTTGAAGAAAGTAAATTGAGAAGCATGTTTCAAAACTATTTTAAAGTAAGAAAAAGCAATTTACTGACATCTATGTAATCAGGGACCTCTATTAATATAATTCTACAGCTATTGGCAAGCAAAAGTATAAACAGTACCTGCATCAGACACTTCAGGGATATTCTCCTCAGTGCTCTCCTTTGTGGTCTGTGTTTCTGACCTTTGAACTCTGACCTGTGGTGGTTGACTGACTTGTTTAGAAGATTCCTCTGATCCTATGGTAAAGAAATTTACAATTTACAACAAGATTTTGAATTAGAAGGGAAAAAAAATCAAGAATTTGTAAGTCGGTAGATACACAACCTGGCTTCAATATTTGACTATTATATTCTCATTACAAGTGACTTCTTATTCAATGAAACTCGTCTTCAGTTAAATGTATCAACATCTTTTCAACCAGTTAAAGGTATGTCAGACAGGAAGTGATACTTACCACCATACCCTGGAGGAGGAGGAGGCATCCGAGACAGATCTATCTGTTTCCCTTCAACTAAAGCAGCTATCACATTTTCAAATTGCTGAAAAATATCAAAATAATTATAAAAAATTATAAAAATAGATATTCAGTGATAGTATTCATGATGTTGATGTTGTGTTAAACTAAAGACAAACTTTATCATTACTCTAGACAAAATTACCAATTACCATCTGCCCACAAGATATACAGCGTATGTTATTGTTTACTTTACCAAGGTATATACAGGGTATGTTATTGTTTACCTTACCAAGGTATATACAGAGTATGTTACTGTTTACCTTACCAAGGTATATACAGCGTATGTTACTGTTTACCTTACCAAGGTATATACAGCGTATGTTATTGTTTACCTTATCAAGGTATATACAGCGTATGTTATTGTTTACCTTACCAAGGTATATACAGGGTATGTTATTGTTTACCTTACCAAGGTATATACAGGGTATGTTATTGTTTACCTTACCTAGGTATATACAGCGTGTGTTATTGTTTACCTTACCATGGTATATACAGCATATGTTATTGTTTACCTACCTTGGCAATCCTGACATATTTGGCTGCATTTGTCATGTCCCCATTATTTTTAGCCTGTAGCGCTGCCTGCTTGTACTGATGTTGCCTTACAACTAGCATGTTATGTTCTGGAAATAAGACATTGTAACATTCTGTTATTCACATTATGATTTCATTATCAAACAATACATTATAGCTAAAATATCAAAGTAGTTTTCTGAATCCCGACCTTACAAAATTTCCCTGGAGGCTATGATAGCTCAGGAGAGAAACCAATGAAAATTTCAGCTGGGGCTGATTTCTCAGGAAGGCTAACAACTGCTGTCAAGGTTGTGTTTTGCGGTATGTCATTTCATGAAAACTGCCTTAGATAGCATGTGGCAGGCTTTCCAAATTTTATTTAGTGAATTTGCCATTTATCTACTACAAGACCTACCCCATAAAATCATTTAACAAAAACATATGATCCCTGCAGCGATAAACCTCCTGAACTAACAGAATGCTAATAAAGAATTTCTACTACAAAATCTGATTTCAGAATTTTTTTAGAAATATTAATCAAAACTGTTTATGATAATAGATGATTCACCTTCTGAATGTTGGGTATTAGCTGGGGTCACTCTTGGCTGTGAATTCGGAACTGTCTCCGTGCTTGGAGCAGGTTTGGGGGCAGGATCCGTCTTGGGCAACGTTGGCTCAATCACAGGAGCTAGAAACACAAATCATATCAACTCATATGTTCTATGAATGGTTACATGAAAAACCTTCCAACTTTATTCATAAACAAATCTGAAGACTCCATCTCCAAACAAGCACAAACAACTAGATAATCGTGTTTCATCCTTTTATGTCAAATTAATCTGAAAATAATTTTTCAACATTTCCATTCAATCCTGTCAGGTCATGTCAATTAGAAAATTATCTTTAAACTTTTCCTTTCAATTCTGTGGTGTTATATGAATTAAAAAATTATCTTTTCAACTTTTCTTTTTAATCCTATGGTGTTGTATTATTTAGAAAATTATCTTTTCAACTTTTTCTTTTAATCCTGTGGTGTTATATGAATTAGAGAATTTTTTGTCAACTTTTAGAGTATTGTCTGACCTTGACTAGGAGCAGGTGGAGGAGCACGAGTTGATACTGCTACAGGTGGGGGAATATCATCTTCAGGGATGGATCTACCAGCTTTGGCTTTCTTTTCAAGGTCCTGCAGTGTCTGGAAAAAAACAAAAAAGGCAAACATTTCTTCTGCATAATTACTATGTTTGGAGTTTCCAAATATAAATCAGCCCATTGCAAACAGACTTTCAAAGTGTCAGACATCTTGAAAATTTTGCCTCTATGTCTAGAATACCTAAAATTATATTTTGCAGTCAATCAGAATGGGTCTGTCATCCATATATTCAGACATGTAATTATACAAATGATACTACAGCAGCTGAAATGTAATGTAAACCAATAGATAGTGTGTTGTCTTCCTATAGTGATATTATTGATTTGTCAGTAAAGAAAACACATTAAATATAATCCCTACATGAAAGTTTGTTTTTAATTCTTTGTCATTTTTATCAGCAATGACATCATACACAAGGGAAACAACTCCATAACTAAACAATATCTAAAAAGTGTGAAATATATCCATATCATTAAGGTAGTTTTTGTATATTACCTTGATACCACTGTAAATGGGTTTCTGATTTTGCGTACTCTTAACATTACTTTGCCATCCCACCCCATCCCCCACCCACAATAAGAAGCTTCTGTTTTGGGGCACTATCTTAATGCCCCATTTGAGGCCCTCTGTTTTTGGTTACTTCCTACGTAACCTTTATCCCCCTGTTGTGTCCCCTATGTTTAAGTGTACTCCCTACAATAACCTTGATCCCCCTGTCATGTTCCCTATGTTTTTGTGTACTTCCTACATTAACCTTGATCCCCCTGTCGTGTCCCCTATGTTTTTGTGTACTTCCTACATAACCTTGATCCCCCTGTTGTGTCCCCTATGTTTTTGTGTACTTCCTACATAACCTTGGTGCCTCTTTCCTAGCCCCTCTATTTTGAGGTACTCTGCATTACCTTAATGCCTCTGTCGATACGCCTCTGTTTCGAGCTGTCCCCAGCTTCCTTTGCGGCTTGTTTGGCTTGTTGATAAAGTGATAGGCGTTCCTGTATCTTAGACAGCATGTTGACCCCTTGCTGAGGCGCGGAGGAGGTCTGTGTCACGGAAACATCCTCATCCTCATCACTCTCAGCCTCAAGTTCCTGGAGCTCTGCCTGGAAATGAGAGTCATTATATCATTTTATTTATATTTTACTGACTTTCTATGTGAAAGCTTAAGTGTCTCACTAATCCCCAACCCCTGTCCACCTCACTAATTCCCAACCCCTGTCTACCTGCAGTTGAGCTGTCTCACTAATTCCCAACCCCTGTCTACCTGCAGTTGAGCTGTCTCACTAATTCCCAAACCCAGTCTACATGGAGCTGAGCTGGTATAGTATACAGGTGAAAGCTGGGCTCTCTCACTAATCCCCAACCCCTGTCCACATGAAGTTGAGCGTGTATAGTATACAGGTGAAAGCTGAGCTGTCTCACTAATCCCCAACCCCTGTCCACATGAAGTTGAGCTGGTATAGTATACAGGTGAAAGCTGGGCTTTCTCACTAATCCCCAACCCCCGTCCACATGAAGTTGAGCGTGTATAGTATACAGGTGGAAGCTGGGCTCTCTCGCTAATCCCCAACCCCTGTCCATATGAAGTTGAGCTGGTGTCAGCATACACTCATCATAAGTCAGAGGTAGCATTATCACGCTCTGCATGAATAAGTAATAACAATGCATTGAAAAAAAGCACTTCTTGGTGGTCAGAAATAAAGAATGAAATAAATTATTTAAAATGAACATGTAAACAAGACAAGAGAACCCAGAGGGATCTTGGCGCCCACCATTTGAGGATCTGTTTTCAGTTCTTGAAGATTTGTTTATTTTTTTTTGTTTGTTACAGGTGTTGTAAATGTTCATGAACTGGTCTTCATTGAATGTACTCAATGCTGGCACAAGATATTTTTATTAAGCACCTATTAGCAAATATCATTTGAAAAAGATCCTAAAGTATTATTAGATAACAGTCAGTTACAGGTGGATAATGGACAATATGCTTGTGCTGTATTACTGTTGACATCCTAGATGGCTGCCTGTGGGCCATCTTGATTTCAAATCAGTCCAAAAAAGGTACAATGCACAACTAGGGACCAAGGGAAACCAATATCTATGAAATATCAGAAGGATCCATCCAGTACTTCCTCAGATATAGCAGTAACAAGATTTTACTCTCAAAATCCAAGATGGCCACCTGTCTGCCATCTTGAATTCGAATCAGTCCAAAAAAGGTACAATGCACAACTAGGGACCAAGGGGAAACTGCATATGAAATTTGAGAAAGATCCATCCAGTACTTTCCAAGAAATAGCGGTAACAAACTTTTACTTCCAAAATCCAAGATGGCTGCCTGTCGGCCATCTTGAATTCGAATCAGTCCAAAAAAGGTACAATGCACAACTAGGGACCAAGGGGAACCTGCATATGAAATTTGAGAAAGATCCATCCAGTACTTTTCCAGAAATAGCGGTAACAAGAATTGTTTACGGACGGACGGACCACGGACCACGGACGCAGGGCGATTTGAATAACCCACCATCTATTAGATCTTGAATTCGAATCAGTCCAAAAAAGGTACAATGCACAACTAAGGACCAAGGGGAAACTGTATATGAAATTTGAGAAAGATCCATCCAGTACTTTCCAAGAAATAGCAGTAACAAACTTTTACTTCCAAAATCCAAGATGGCTGCCTGTCGGCCATCTTGAATTCGAATCAGTCCAAAAAAGGTACAATGCACAACTAGGGACCAAGGGGAACCTGCATATGAAATTTGAGAAAGATCCATCCAGTACTTTTCCAGAAATAGCGGTAACAAACTTTTACTTCCAAAATCCAAGATGGCCACCTGTCGGCCATCTTGAATGCGAATCAGTTTAAAAAAGGTACAATGCATAACTAGGGACCAAGGGGAACCTGCATATGAAATTTGAGAAAGATCCATCCAGTACTTTTCCAGAAATAACGGTAACAAGAATTGTTTACGGACGGACGGACGGACCACGGATGCAGGGCGATTTGAATAACCCAACATCTATTAGATGGTGGGCTAAAAGTAAATGACTGACAAGGAACAGTATCTTATTAATGTCAGACTCTAATGATGTAATTATTTACACTGGATACGACCAGTAGATATATTCTTTTTTTCTAAAATGTCAAATATTAGATTCATACAGGTCCAACCTGATATCATTTTACATGTTATGTATCAGAGAAACAAAATTACCATTAGATCTGGGTCTTCTGTATCAGACATCTCTTCATCACTACCTATATCTTTCATACAGTCATCCGCCATCCTCCCAATGTCTTCTAGACTCACCGGAGTTTTGCCTGCTGGAAAAATTAAGCATGAAGAAACAGTTTGAGTTATTTGGAACATGAAGAAAAAAAGTGACACCATAAAACAACAGTTTGGAATTTCAACCATAATAAATACCATTATTTTTACAAACACTGGCAATAAAGGGTGAGTAACTCTTCCTATCTTTCTTGTCTTTTGCCTGGACCTTTAAAGGACCCTGGCCTTGAAGGGCAAGTAATATTAACTACCTTTCTTGTCTTTTGCCTTGACCTTTGGAGGACCCTGGCCTTAAAGGGCAAGTAATTCTACCTACCTTTCTTGTCTTTTGCCTTGGCCTTTGGAGGACCCTGGCCTTAAAGGGCAAGTTACACTACCTATCCTTTCTTGTCTTTTGCCTTGGCCTTTGAAGGACCCTCTCCTAGAAGGGCAAGTAACTCTACCTACCTTTCTTGTCTTTTGCCTTGGCCTTTAGAGGACCCTCGCCTTGAAGGGCAAGTAACTCTACCTACCTTTCTTGTCTTTTGCCTTGGCCTTTGGAGGACCCTCGCCTTGAAGGGCAAGTAACTCGGCCTCTAGTGCTGCATCATCTTCATCATCATCCATTCTTTGTCCACCAAAATCACCTCCAAAACCAAGCTGGCAATAAAGTAAAAATATTCTCATAATAACATATACAGACGGCAAAATTAATTTATAAAACTTCAAACTGTTATCACATCTTGATCTAGTAATCAAAGATAGATAAATAGACAAAGCGATGGTAAAGTAGACTACATGTAATGGTCGAGATGTTTAGCATTTCATTACTGGTAATGTTCAAGAATGTTCACAGTGAAATCAAATGATGAATTTTAATTTTGTAAACTTATCACATCATTTGATAAAACTGAAAAAATAATGAAAAAAACCTGTTTCTAGGAATGTAAAATATTATTTATTTTGTATTCACCCACAAATGGGTAAGTGCATTTAAACTTACCTGTGTATCTAAACTTACCTAACTCACTTTGTTAGAATATATATTACAGTAATTAAATACTTTCATAATTCATGTAGGAGCCATTTGCCCCCTCATCAAATTCAACTGTTTGTCATTCAAGTGAATTGTTAGTTTCACTTGTAAACTTCCAGCTGTCAACTTTTGAGGGCAATGACAATTTGGGATGCCATTTGTAGCCTTTAATTGACAAGTTTTATTTCTATAAATCTGTTGTCACTTGTGTTGAGCTTCAAAAATTAATGCTATTAAGTTAAATTTAATTCAGCAGTAACATTGACTGATTGATTAAGTTGTCCTTAATATATGGTTTTCACCAACTCACTAAGTTTTAGACTAACAAAAAAAGTTGACAAAATTCAACCTAAGAAGGAAAGGAAGACTCATTCCATCACATTAGCCTGCTTACATTGAAAATTGTTTTTCTTATTCTGTTTTGTTGCAAGAAGAGCTCTACAAAGCCAATTTCATAACATCGTGGGGATATGATTGAAGTCTTCAAAATTACGAACAATTTTTTGTGATAGTAACGTTGCTGGTTTCCTTAAATTGTTGATTGACAAAGTTCAAATTCAGCGGACAAGGGGTAACTCAAAAAAACTTTACATGCGCTATTGTAAACTTGACATCAGGAAATATTCTTTGCTTTGCGTGTTGTCAAAATATGGAACAATCTTCCGGAGTATATTGTATCGGCACCAACAGTTAACTCTTTCAAAAATAGATTAGATGAACACTGGGCAAATCAAGAACTGGTATATAATTATAAAGTAGAAATTCTGTAGTTCCTGGATCTGACGTCTCAAATGACAATAATTATAATCATTATCATTGTATCACTGAGACCGGTATAGAGGATCGTAACGATCCTGCACTGGTAATAAACTAAACTAAACTAACAACAAGTTACTTTCAATATTCTTTTACAGATCTTGTTCCAATGTATTAGTTACAAAATATAGTCTGCAGTGTTGGAAAGTCCTCCTATATACTTATGAGTTATGGGATTGATGTTCTAAATTTGAGTCAGAAAAGTAATAGATGGCTCAAAGAGAAGCTGTCTGTTACAGGGTCTTCCATCCTACGGCCATAATTGGTGATTTATGCAATGAATCAAGTTTAGAATAGAAACTCTTACTGGTCTCTTTTTAACTGTAACTTCAACTTTTGTATAAGATACATAACAAATTAACTTCTGGCTTCTTGAGTGATTTATTAAGACCACATATCATTGAAAATAATTGTCATTATTGCTTCTCGTCACAACAATAACTACAGGATTCCTCAATCTTGATTCTCCCTAACCAAACTGTCCTTTCTACCTTCTGTACTTTTTTAGAGTTATCTTAAGTGATGTGGTTTATTTACCACCTTCGTTGGTTTTCTTTATATCCTCTTGAAGGTCACCTGTACTATCTCCTTCATCCATGTATTCTAGTGTCTGTGCTCAAAAGTTGAGTATTTTACATGCATGAATTTTAGTTCCCTTATGATCTTTATAGAGCAAACCCTATAAATAATGCTTCGTTTACTTGTGGTAATCCTTGTGAAAACACCTTTCACTGTTTTTTATGAGTGTCATCTTTTTACCAATAACAGGAATATCTTAATACAAAGTATTTGGAATGTTGCATTCAATTTCGATACAATTTTGTTTGAAAATACTCATTATACTGTAGACGTTAATTTAGATATTCTGACACGTAAAGTCCTTCAGTAAGTCTAGTGATAGATTTTGATTTCAATAGTAATGATTATTGTAGATACGTGTACACATGTATGCAGGATTCCTTGATAACAGTTCTTTTCCTTTTAAATGCATATTGGGAGATGGCGTAGATAAGTTGTAACAACTTGTTCTAATGCTGATGGCGTAGATAAGTTGTAACAACTTGTTGACAATAAATATGCTTTAATAAAATTTTCTGTCAAATGAAGTCGGGAGCAGGTGGGGAGATGGTTTATTTTTGGTATTCGTATGATCAGGAGGGTACATACAGAAGTGATGAACTGTATGGCTCTTTTGGAATGACAAGCTGCTGACGATGTGTCATAATCGTTATATTAATAGGAAAACAGGTCAGAGCCCTTGTCAACAGAATATAAAGCTTCGTCTCAGTTCCTACCTGGTTCATTAAACCGGCGCCTTTCCTTTTTGAAGGATCAACCGTTTCTTTCTTTCTGCCAAACATTTTGAAGAAAAATTAATTATATATAAGATGAGTCGATATCAGCTATACTTCGTTTTTGTCAACATCACGGCTTCCGCATTCTGAATCTGAATCGGTATCTCAGATTCTTGGTCAGTGAAACGTTTGGTTTGGTGAACATAAACACAGTCTGGAACCTCAAAATCAGAAAAAGTCGAAAATTGTTCATTCTACAGCCCTTCTTCCATTCATTACCAATTAGTTTCGTTTGTTTTTAACTGTATTTGCTCATAAAATTTGTTTATTTACTTTCACTTTGAACCAAACGCCATCGTCGGTGTTAACATTGAAATTATCTCCCCTGTCTGGTCCAAGATAACTGCATGCTAGTAAAACTTTATTTGTATATCAAACCTGGGACGTATAACCAGGGACGTATATAACAGTGTATTATACGCCCCTGATTAAACACAATAAATAAAATCAAGACAAGTTACTATATCATTATTAATGGTTTGAATTACTACTCCTCGCTGAGTCTCTAACAATATAAATTTCATTTAAATTCAGTTCAAGTTTATTCGTTGGAAAAGTGCATCATCCTTTCAGACTGAGTAAAAATGTTATCACAAGCAGAGACAAGTATGTAAATAAGCAAGAAAGACGAGATAATTTTGGCACGATAAAATAAGGGTGATATAAAGGGATAAGAACTGACTAGGCCCAATCAGAGACGTATATATAACACCTATCCTGCGTCTCACGCCCAGTGGAGACTTTTCTGACGTCAGTTTTATGTTTGCACTAAAACCATGACGTCACCACAGCCCCTTCATGATCACAGTTATCTCAATCTTATCAACCTATGCCTAATACCTTAGTTAAACACTGCGATTTGTCGGTCAGTGATAAGATTTTCTTCACATTTCGGGCTATAAGTGGGATGCAGTATAGGGTGGCACATGCACTTCAGCTGTAAATAGCTTCCGTTTTTGTTTCATAAATATCAAACTGAGTTCATAGAAATTATTTGTCACAAAAGTTAACATTAGATCTACAACACTAGTAGTAACGGTGTTATATTAAAACAGATACATATTATTATATGTATTTATTACCAGAAACAAAACCCAGAAATAAGAGACACAAGCAGTGATAGTTTGTGTCTTGATTTGCAAGTGCTTTACAATTAAGCCCTTTCTTCCATTAAGATACTAACATTATTTTACTGAAAACTGCACACGGTAAATATAGCCTTAATGTTATGTATATTCGGGTATCTGTAACTGTGTTTCAGAATAAATGTATGTCGTTATTCTTGATAATATACATTTATACGTGCATTGAAATTTTTTATCTTTTCCTTGAATGAAGATTAGATGTGCGAACATAATAGTTCTGTTTTAAGGTTTCACTTTATCAAATTTTGGATAGATTTTTACCATTTTTGGCTAAAATACTGGTTTTGTTAACATATTTACATATGAGGTAGTCTAAATGCATCCAATAAGTTAAAAACCCGCGCGGTCAATTTATAGTTCCCGGGTGGTGTCGGACCGTATCGGGCGGTACCGGGCTGTAGTTATTATCACTCCAAATGAGGAATGGAAGAGGAAGACTATGGTGCAAAGTTATTTTATAGTCATTCAGATAAGATGTTAACTGTTATGTAAGTTCTGTTTAATGTTTTAAATGATACAATTGAAATGCATGCTTAACAGTTTAATCACTGTTGGACACCTAGTTTCAAAATACAATAAAATACAAGTATCGCAATTGTGGTGAAGTTTTTCTCTTTGTATTTTGTGTCGGTTGAAAGGGGGTTAACTCTCATCAGCCATCAGATTTCGGGGGGAAATGACATATTATACTTAAATGTTATCGGACAGTAGAGATTAAACAAAATATTCTGAGCTTAAAAGGGTCTTAGTGGTTAGTTTTCGTTATTTTTTATCATGCGTTTGATTTCGGACAGGCGTCTATTCACAAAAGGAAAACACTTTAACACCAGTTGACACTCGCTCGTGTCTACCCCACTAATCGCTGTTTTGTCCGATATTGCAGAGTTCATTATGTGACCTTTCGGAACTTCGTTTTATTTTAATTTCTTAATTTGCATGTACAGTCTTGCTTTCACTCTCCAAACGATCAAGATATGAATTAGTCTCGGTATCTCCTATTTTATTTTAATTTTTTGATTTTTTTGATAAAATGGTTATGAAAATTTTAAAATAATATAATTAACAGAAAGTGCACAACGTTTTAACGAAAATAGAAGTGTTATGATTTTTTTTATTAATTATGAAATGAATATTTAACCATTTAGTCCCATAAATGTAAATGAACATCAAATTAATTGTTTTCCTGAATTCTTAGACCAACATAGTTATAATGGTTTCACATTAATTCCTGTTTTTCATAAGATTTTTGAGACACTGTTTTCTTCCCGCCCCGGCCCAATCCTAGCAACCTGCACATTCCCTTACTGATATCAATCGGCAAATCGTTAAAAACTGTGTAGCTTTCTTTTGTACTTCTTTTAATCTACAAGAAAGTGTAAACTATAACCTAGATAATAGATCTGATGTGTTTGTTGTTTTTCTAAATAGTAATACAGCCTTCAGCTCTGTATGGCAAGGAGGTCTATTTTATAGAATTTACAATATGGGTATTAAACGGAAAATATTGAATATTACCAGTAATGCTGTGCTCAATGGTTTTGAGTCGCACAAGGTAATTACGAGACAAGGAATCTTGCAAGGTGGATATTTATCTGCGCAACTGTATCTAGACTTTATTAATGATTTGCTAAATCAAGTAGAATTTAGGAAAGGGGCAGTAGTTCTATCCTCTCAAGTAACATACTCACACAAGCGAATGGCATTTGTCTGGTCAGCAAGAATGTTCATAGTTTACAGATCAACTCTTTATTTGCAAATTATACAGCAGGAATTGGAGATTTATATTTTCGCCCACTAAATCTAAACTTTTTGTTTTCACTACGAAAAAGAAACTCATTGCTCATTTTATATAGAAAGCAACTACCAATTGCAGAAATTGTAATTCATGTTGGCATCTTATTGAACAGTACATGTTCTAAATTAAAGTGCATAGTTGTCTTTTAATCTGTTCAGGCCACACCCATGTGCCCTTAATTCTATTACTATTGCAAACATTGTTAAATGCAAAGTATACCTGTCAGCACTGCATGGATGCAAGTGGTGGCAACTACAACAAAATGAAATTTACATGCAAAAAACAAGCTCAAAACTACATGGTAAAGTTAATCCAAGGTTTTAATGAAAGAACAAGAACAGATATGTACACATCTCTAAGTTGGCTGTTTAACACATGAGACATTGTTCATATTTAATATGCAAAAATACAACTTATATTATGTACTTCACAATTTTTCTAAAAAAAATTCCCCAAAAAACTCTCAATTGAAGTGTTTGGTCAACAACCATGTCAGAATTTTCGAACACTTAAATCTATGTGAAAGAATGAGCAGTGAAGCAGCATTCTCTTGCTTCATGCTTCTACATAACAAGATACAACTGCATGTGGTATGGAAACTTGCTTTACATTTTCAACAAATGAATCTACAATTCAAGAATATTGTCAAACTGCGTGTGGGAATTACACTTACTTGTGTACTGTCCTGAGACTAGAGAAAATACAAATATGTATGTTCAGTTCTGAGGACTAGGACAATTACAAATTCTTTTGTCCTATTCCGAGAACTAGAATAGTCACAAACACTTGACAATATTATCTTGTTCTTGGTCGATGAATCCAGGTAGCGACCTCTGCCACATTTCATGATATTGAATCAGTGTTCAGATTTGAATAATAATTATATGTTCCAGGATAGTTATTTATTTTTTGGGAATGGCTATTGCCTGCAACATTTAGTTATTTTTTGGGAATGGCTATTGCCTGCAACATTTATTTATTTATTTGTAATGGCTATTGCCTGCAACATTTATTTATTTATTGGGAATGGCTATTGCCAGCAACATTTATTTATTTATTTGTAATGGCTATTGCCTGCAACATTTATTTATTTATTGGGAATGGCTATTGCCAGCAACATTTATTTATTTATTTGTAATGGCTATTGCCTGCAACATTTATTTATTTATTGGGAATGGCTATTGCCTGCAACATTTATTTATTTATTGGGAATGGCTATTGCCTGCAACATTTATTTATTTATTTGTAATGGCTATTGCCTGCAACATTTAGTTATTTATTGGGAATGGCTATTGCCTGCAACATTTATTTATTTATTGGGAATGGCTTTTTTTTTGCCTGCAACATTTATTTATTTATTTGTAATGGCTATTGCCTGCAACATTTAGTTATTTATTGGGAATGGCTTTTGCCTGCAACATTTATTTATTTATTTGTAATGGCTATTGCCTGCAACATTTATTTATTTATTGGGAATGGCTTTTGCCTGCAACATTTATTTATTTGTAATGGCTTTTGCCTGCAACATTTATTTATTTGTTGGGAATGGCTATTGCCTGCAACATTTATTTATTTATTGGGAATGGCTTTTGCCTGCAACATTTATTTATTTATTGGGAATGGCTATTGCCAGCAACATTTATTTATTTATTGGGAATGGCTTTTGCCTGCAACATTTATTTATTTATTTGGAATGGCTTTTGCCTGCAACATGGAACAAAATAAGGGTAAAAATTTCATAACCAGTAATTGTTATACTTGATTGTGTATTTGTATTCCATAATTGATAATGATTTCAATCAATGTAAGTGGGATACACTATGTCCATTTAATGTGTACATTTATAAATCACATTTATAAATTGTATATACGCTGCAAGCTGTAGGTCATCCTTTGCGACCAGCTAGTTGCGTCAAAAGATAAGTCAATTAAGACCACTTTGACCATCGGTCAAGTCAACTAAGACCACTTTGGCCATCGGTCAAACTGGCTTTCATTGTAATGGGAATTCCACGACGCAATTCCCGAATGCTTTAAATAAGGCGCCCCGACCAAGCTAAAGGAGTGCTGGTAGGGAGGTGCCCACAACAGCTCCAGAGTGCTGGTAGAAAGGTGTCCAACGAAAGGTACTATCCGGAATCAAGC